TTTTATTTCTAGTAATAGAGACTTGAAAAGTTTGTTATTAGTATAGTTTTTCATGCAGATTTCAAATATGCAATCATTTTTTGTGTAGCTGCTATAATTATTGAGTTATGCCATAAACAATAGCAAAAAGTTACATTTTTTGCGGGCACTATTTTATGTACTAAACTATCAGTAAAGCACTGTGTCTGATCTTATTCGACTCTTGGTAGATTGAAAAGTGCAAATATCTATATAGATATGTCACAGAAATATTGGAACCAAGAAAAAAAAATTGTATTGAATGACTTATTATTTTCAATCTCCCTTGAAACAATAAGCTAATATTTTCACAACTAATGCTGGCAGGCATTGCAATTTAGAGTAGATATTTGCATTCAGCATGTGTTGAAGAATATGTGTGCCAAGTTTCGTTACTATACAATGAATATAAGTTTCTAAAAGGCTGCCCGGAAAACGTGAAACTGTCAGAAAAAATGAAAATGAGAAAAACAAGTTTGAAAGTTCGCAAAGTTGGCATTTATTAGGAAATCATTCTTTTTGCATCAAATTGGGGCACAATGAAAAGTACCTTGCCTTGAATGCACTGCAAGTGTCTAGAAGTCCCCTGCACCATAGCTTGGTCCTTCACAGCTCTTGCGGTCAGTGTCCTCAACACGAGCTCTCTTCGCTGTGTTGCGACGGTGTGCCCTCGCTTCTGCAGTTTGCTTCAGGTTCATCTTCCTGATGCGCATGGCGTCACAGTGGTCACCATGTGTGGCCAGATCTTGTGAGGGGAGAATTCCAATGCCTTCGAGCACTTGGCCTTTGTTGTACCAGAGTACAGCAAGAGCGGTGGCTGTCTCCACAGTTGTTCTGGAGGCGAACTTTGTTTTTGGACATAGCAGCCATATCTTGCTGTTCAGCGATTCGGCTGCATTCTGTGTCTTGCCATGAAGGCACCGAATAAGGAGTTTCTCCTCTGTAAGGCGCTTGTAGATAGGCATAATTGCCAATCCTTGAGCCTTCGTCAACAGTGGGGTGTGGCGTGGTGCAGGCTCCCCCAGTGCTTCCGCACGCTTGTGCTTGTACCACGAATTTGATCCCGCGGGGCACAAGTTGTGGCTACTGGCACCATCACTGGAGCAGCAATGAAAATACGATGCCCATATGGCAGTGTACATATTTCGGACACTGTCCTTGTTGCTCGTGTTGGCGATCTTGTAATATGTTTGTAGTTTTATTATTGTCGCATCTTTCAGTTTTTCGCCTCGTGGCAGTGGCGTTGCCAATTTCCGTAGGGCAGTTCCCAAGCGCTTTGCAACGTGGTTCGTGCACTCTTCTTTGTCAATGGGGGTGTCACAGTACACATTTGCCTCGCAGACTGCAGTGTAGGCCTTGCTGTCACCATCACTTAGGAAGCTGGTGAATCGCAGTGGAGTTTCATAAGACAAGGTCCTCTGCCATATATTGACAGCTGCCGCAGGTTCCATTGCATGGGATGAGCAGTCAGTGTTTTTTTGGCAAACTGGAAGATGAAAAGCTTGCCATATCTCTTCATCCTCCCCAAGGTCCCTGTGTATACTGCAAGCATGGCAGTAGTTCGAAAGAACTTCAAAATCGAGGCAGAGCCCCGTGTCCAGGGACACGACTGTGCCCACTCCATTGTGGCTTTTATGACCTCTTTTCTGCCAGGTGCCATCAAACATGACTGGCACATCTCTGCCGCCGACTGCGTCCTTCGTGATGTTTCGTGCCTGGTGCAAGTTTTTGCTCACTGCCGTCATCGCCGCACCATGGAGCTTCTTGCAAATGCCGTTGAATGTCTTGTGATGCATCGGGCTCGGAAGACCGAGAATCGCACAAAATCGTGAAAGTTGGTCGTGGCCTGCGCCTATAGCGCGTGCTGCCAGAACTGCCTTCACGTTTACAGCAAAGCTGTCACGCGAGCTGCCGCTGTCAAAACGAGCGCTCGTTCCTTGGTCCCCGGCCGAAGCAGTACGTCTCGACGTGTGCGTGAATGAAAGTGCAGATTCAGGGCAATCAGAATTTTGACAGCACAGTTCGAGGAATGCCGAAAGTCCTTTGCGCTTTCCAGCTGCCTCTCGCACGCCGAGCTTCCGTTCGCGGCAGGTTGGGCATTGCGCACCCGCCACAAGTGCCGTCAGCGCATCGATTTCGCAAAGCAGCATGTTCGCAGTAGCAGCATCTACCGGTCTACGTTCACTCTCGAAGAATCCAATCTTCCTTTGGGATGCACTGACGAATTCCACGGCAGCGGCTATTTCACAACCACTGTCGCAGGGTTCGGTGACGGTGTTAGGCCTATCCGAAGTCTGAGCGTCGGGGCGTTGGTCGGGGGCGACATCGTCGTTCGCTGTCGCTTTGCGAAGCGTCCGACGCCGTTTCCCTCGATACTTGTGGCGAGTTCTGAACTTTCCATTATCTGAACTGCACTTCTTCGGGCTTGCCATGACGCAAAAATGCAGAGAAACGCAGAAAAACTCGATCGCTACGTCCGAGGCTTCGCTCTTTTGCCGGAGAGATAGGAGGGGGAGGAGCGTGGAGCGTACCACCGTCCAATGGCGGCCTCGCACTGTGTGCCGCGATATTCAAAACGCGTGACGTACGCGTTGTTTTTCTCGTTTTTTGTTTATTTTGCGTGAAGGCACGAGACTGGCTAATAGTGGATTATGAAGGATACGGCCTTCGCAGCATGCGTGCACGATTGCAAATGGCGGCCAACGCGTCGTTTTCGCGACAGTACGACGCGAACTTCGCCGTTTTTCGAGACTTTCGCGCATTTCTCGCGTCACCGCTGCCCACTTGGAAGCATTTTTTGATAATTTCTCGTGCGAATTTCAGCTTGATATTTTCAGAAGTAATAGATTATAGTCCAAGGATGCCAATACAGCCGGAAAAAAAAAAGCGAAAATTTTCCGGAAAACCGCGACTTTTCGACCCGCGTCTCCCCTTAAAACTAAGAAAATGGCGCCACTCATGTCTCTGGTCGAAGGCAGCATAGCATAACTCCAAAAACGGCCGAAAAATCCTTCCCAAAGTGAGCGACAGACCTTTCTCAAGAACAGAAACGCTTGCATTTAAAACAGTCCATCAATACACACGCCGCAACAAAGTTATACCAAACGTATCAAGAAATGAATTGTCTTGGCTTTCGCACCAACTGCCCATATGTGACTCAGTCCACAGTTAGGAGAATAGCCATTACTTAAACAAACATTGACATGATGAAACACCTCAAGGGATATTTCACGGACTGATTGTGCAAAGGTGAACTAGATGATTGTATCTTTAACCATGGAACTTTGTGTGAAGTGACCTGCTTCACAGACACAAAATAATGACTACTTTTCGAGGATTACATGGGCCAACTGAAGTTAGTCGTAACTGAGGTTAGCATGCAAAAATAACTAGGGTGTTAGACAGATTTTTTTTATCTGAATCTTTAAAAAGACATTACAGGGTTGTTTTACAGCCCTGTTTTTAACAATGAATATATACCAACTAGCTAGCATTCACTCGCCTTTAAGCTACAGAGATTTGTCGCATAATGTGAGTACTTTTCCCTCTCGTTCTGAGGAGCGCACTGGAAGCTGAGCAGGGAGTAATGGCACAAGGGAAAAGAAGTGACGTCACACGCATGTCAAGCCCCTGAGCACATTTTTTCTTTCTCTCCTTTCAATGTGCGCCTTACTTACAGTGCGTTCATTAGTATGTGCACAAGGCACATGGCACCTTCTAGTGGTGACCAGGATAACTATTGTATTTACTCGCATAATTATAGGAGCACCCCCAATCAGGCGGCAAGAAATTGGATTTTTTCTTTAATTTCTGTACATAATAATAGTATTTGGAAATTCGAATACTTGTAAGCACATCGCATCACATCCCTCAACTCTCAGACACGCGAGACTGAATGCTCAACACATTTCGCGCTAGTGTATGAAGAAAGTTGTTTCGGTTGTAGTGCGGATATTGGCGACTTCGGCAACACACATTATTATCAGTCTATGCTGTAGTCTAAAATCTTACCTCCCGTATTCGGCACACCCCATACTTGGAGCTGGATTTTCTCAAAAGTAAGAGCACCTATTATGAGAGTGAATACGATAATGCAGCTTGTGATGCTCAAACCAGCCAATGGCTGTTTATATGGCATTATTTGTAGGAAAAAAAAATGCTTCCTCGCTGACTGAAAATATTAAATTCCAGGCAGTGCACTGGGCTATAATGCTTGGCTCGCGTGTCCTCAGAAGCCTCTACTACCGATAGGCAGCGTTTCCTGAACATGCTAAATAAGTGTTGCAGGGACCCTCTAAGGTTGCACCAACAAAGATACGAGCCCTTAGATATCCCCTCAGTTTGTAACAATCAATGTAGCTTAAATTTTATGTGCAAAATTTCAGTTCAGGATTGAAAGAATTGTGCTTTGCGATTGTTTCCTATGCCTCGAAGGTAATCCTATTTCAAAATTGCTGCCACCATGTAACTATGATGTCATGAATCTAGGTTTTTTTGTGTAGTCTAACATTATACTAGGTCTTCAACTCTTTCAGGAGTCGCCTATGAAGAACTGTGTATAAAGTGCATCAAATTTACAAATCACAATTTCAAGGCAATATTGCAATCTATTGCAACGAAAAACATTCATAACGCACTGACTGCTGTACAGCACAGGTAATTAATCTTAATTAAAGTGTAATGAAATATATATCTTGAAATAATTCAACTTCTGTTTTCACATAAATAGAATCAAATCTAAGGCTAGCAATATTGTGCTACTCTGTTTTCAATAATACTGATTTCGAACAAAGAAAAATGTTCTTTTCTCGTGGCTTGTAGAAAGCGGCATGTCAAATAACTCGTCAGAAGAGGTGCTGCCTTCAGCAAAGTGATCCTGTGCAACAAAGTTGAAAACTCTTGTATCGCACTCTCCCTTAGCAACTTCGTACAAAACACCTCAAAGAATCGAGCCACATGAAGCCATGCATATCTCACTGACCTGAAGCTTAGCGTGCTTCTGCGTGTCCGTCCGAGTGTGCTCCGTCAGTTGAGGAGGAGGCATCAGAGAGTCGCTTGGGCTGGAATTCGGTGATGATGACCGTAACGTTGTTGACTGTGACGGCCCGCTGCTGACCCGAGGACCGGTCTACGTTCTTGAGGCGGGGACGGGTGGTACCGCGCGAGCTGTTGCTGGCATCCCCACCGGGACCCCCGCTCCCTCGCCGGCTGCTTGAGCCCCTGCGGCCGCTGCTTGGGCCGAGCTGCTGAGCCACCAGCTGCGCATTCAAGCGCGGCTTCCTGCATGGCGCATGGCGTTTGTTATTAACCCACTCGCGACTGAAAGAGAAAAACTTGCCTTTAACAGTGAAAAATTTTTCACACTCAATTTTTAGAGCTTTTTCCTTCTGAATAAAACAATACCACTATTTGAATTTGATGATATTCCTTCATTTGACTAATTGCACAGGTAAAGATAACTTGAAGGTAGTTTCACTGCATGCCAAAAATGAAAAAATGGCGATGAAATGAAAGTTCGAACACAAGTAAATGTCTCAACACGGACAAGCATGGCCATCGAACGTCCAGAAACACAAGTATGGCAGGTATAGACCTCATTGGTGTTGGGCGAGACTGATTTTTGTTGACGACGTCCACAGAATATAGTCGTCATCGGTCATTTTGTTAGAAAATCTCGTGACGTATAGTATACTCGTGAATAGTTGCAGAAGGGTTGAAGTGACACTAAAGTGATATAATGAATTGGCTTAGATTGATGAATTGAACTCTCAGAACTTTAATGTTGGTGATTTCCCCTTCGTATGTTTATCAATAGATTAAAAAATATTGTGGTACAAAGCTTTTCATTGGGCACGCGACAACTTCCTGTGTCTAACCAAAATTTTTCATGTGACTTGGTAAGAAGTAAACCAAGAAGAAGTAAACCCTTTAAGAAGTAAATGAAAAACAAACCAAGAAGAAGTAAATTCTTTAAGAAGTAAACGAAAAACAAAACACAAACAACATGGGCATCAGATTTTTTTTTTTTTTACCTACGCTCTACTTTCCCTAGATGACATTCCACGGTTTCACATTTGTTTCCTATCATCCTGAGGCTGCACGAAGCCACCCCCTGTTCCCTACGCACGTGAGCAGACATCAGGGATATGGCAAGCAGATGATGCAATGCGGATGAATACATGTGTAGAGGCATTAGCACTCCTATTGGCCAAGGGCCTCACAGCCTTGACAATACTGAAAGGAATTTCTGAGATGGAGTACAGATTGCAACCCATAAAGTTCTAAATGCTCAATTTTGCCTGGTAACATGAATAGCGGTATCGAACTGCATTCGAAAGCAACATTTGAGGTTAAATAAAGCTCATACAGGCATCGATTTTGAAAAAAAGCATTTATAGGCACTTATAGGAATTTAAGCACAAAAGTCAGAAAGAGGCAAGTTTAGGCACTATAAAAATGTTATAAAAGACCTTAACTTCTTATTTATGCTTATATAGAAACACAAGAAACGAAATATGCATTTGCTTATAATTCAGCATTTAGTGATGACAGTTACCGAATGGGTCATAATGATTCACTACATTTTTATACTTAAAGAGAAGATAGTTTGAAGATAAAAGCAATCTATAATTCAAAGAAAACCAAAGACTGCCATTGTGATCATTTTATCAATTGTGCAATGTCATTGGGATTTAGCCCTTCGTGCTGAAAACCAATGTTGTCGCCTTGCAGAGCTTGGTAGGGCTTGAAAAAAGTGGGCAGCCTGCATCAATGGCCTTTAAAATGACACAAAAGTGAAACAATGAATTTACCCTTCATATTTTTATCAATAAACAAAATGAAGCTCCAAGCTTCTTTTCGAATATTTCACCAAAAATCTCAGCACGTGATATCATGAATTTCTAAAACTATTTGTCATATTTGGCAACATCGGCAAAACAAAATTTCCTAAAACTTCGTATGTTATGCCTATGGCCCCCTTAGAGGTCAATGCACCAAATCATGTTCACCGATTAGGAACTACATAGGACCTAACACGTGCCATCAAAATAAATGACACCATGGCATTTGAGGCAAGAATGTCAAAATGGCGGGAACACCCATATATCCTTTTTGCAAGTTTTTTCGTTTACCGAGCGCACTCTCGTGGCAAGTAAAGTGATTTCGAATTGCGAAGTGTGATTTACTAATATGAAAAAAAAAAAAACTTTTCCCTTTATTCCCCCTTTAAAGTTAACGACCCAAACAAAAATAATGTGAATTAACATAGCAAGTGTGTGCCACGTGATTAAGGTGATTAAGTGCATAATGTGAATCAAATCTGCATGAAGGCAAACTAAATGGAATAAAAAGTGCGTTATTGTTCCATTAGTGCTTTCAATTCTATTCTACTAATTCTATTCTACTGTCTTTTGCAAGGCCGCAACCGATTTTCTTCACACTTCATTGTATTTGCTTCGTACCCTCCCATTCAATACAGGCAAACGAGGAGGAGAGGGTAATTGCAAAAGAGGAGGGGGGTATTGAGAAGCCACCATCACGAATTCGGTAAGACTAAAGGAAAGAGGTGTTCTGTGAAAAAAAAAGGGGGAGGGGCACCATTCTGATGAATCATGGTTGTCATGAAAGACCACGTACAATGGCAGGCTAGAAATTCTGAGAATTCGTACTTGAATGAAAATGTAGTGAGTTAAAATTCACAGTCACTCGTAAAAGTAACCGGTCACATGTAATGCACTGTCTGTAACTAGTTACCGCTCAAGACTGGTAAGGACCCATCTGAATGTTTGAACAGAGCATTTTTTTTCCTCCTGTCGTACAAAGCATTCAATCAAAGCAACAACTGACAGGACGGTGAGACGTGGAGCAGGAAGACCATCGAGAGAAACTGAACAGGAAGGAGTGGCCACTCACCTGGTAGACGTTCCTTTGCGTACGTCGCACATGAGGCACTTGAAGGCCTCGGCCGTGTTGCGGTACGTACAAACACTGCAGTCCCACACTTGTTCCTCTTTGGATGGCGGCGCCTGCCGCTTCGGACGTCTGCGAACACATCACAATTGGATTAACTCAGTGTTGTACACATTTGTCTAAAAGAGTCATAAAAGCTAGTTCCTCATTCCACCGCAATCTTGGAACAAGTTCACATTACAAGTTTCTTTAATGCAAAAGGAACTTGTTACAGTTACATATCAAGAATTGGAGTGTGCCGCTGCATCAGTTTTTAGTCAAAATATACTGATGGATAAACCTGAGGTGAAATAAATTGAGTATTTTAAAGCTGACATCTTGCCACACATATTATTTGACATCACCGATGGCAGGTTACATGTAGGTACAAAGACCACCAGTCATACTACAAACATGTAGGCGTTTGGTGCTGATTAAATATCAGCAGTGTATTATAACAGAATGCATTGCGAGACAAGTTGGTGCATCATCTAAAAATAAAAGAGGAGCGAAAAAAATGAGACACACGAGACATATGGAAAGGAATGGGTGCTCACTACCAACTGATTTTATTATGAAAGAACTGTGGGAAATATGCAGATCATACATCACAAATGCACACTTGTTTATTTGTTATCAACAGTATGCAATGAATGATGTCTATACTCTGTTTCACCGCTTTGGTTCAGCACTACCAAAGCTTCGGTGTGTAAGAAAGCCCCCCACTTGCGCAGCAAAACATAGTCCCAATATAATGAGGCTTTTTTAAAATTGACCGGGTTGACTTAAAATGGGCATTTGTTTGGTGCGTGTTTCACCACATCCATTTTGGATACGTTTACTCTTGGCATTTAGTTCGAACGCGTGAAATTATTTTTGTCACTTACCGCCGGTAACTGTGTTTACAAATCAACATGGCAGCACCCATGCGGAAGCGACCGCCCGCTTCGATCCAAACTTGCTCTTGCTACACGCCCACTGTGCTGACAGCAACAAATGAATCGTTAAGTCCGTCATCGATTTGCTTCATCTTACTCCGAGAATAAAACATCAGGTACGTTTTGTCGTTGTTGGGGAGATATGCTGCTTGCTTAGCTGCACCTGCTAAGACTAATGCGCTAAGAAAGTGCTTGGGCTGGGTCGCCAGACAAAGAACACTGCATCTTTGACGGACATGTAACATGGCACAGCGTTTCATGCGTGTCAGATCCTTTTTCGATGGAAACCAATAAAAAGAGAGAAAAGAAGCATTGGAGCAAGAGACGCGAACGAACACGTTGATAGAGAAGCAGTTATACAAGAGCCAGGAAGAGCGTCAGAGAGAAACAGCCACAAAGTGAAGTTATCCCCGGCATGAGCGTCTACTAATCTTCAGCAGAGCTACAAATCCCCGCTTCAAGTTCCTCGTGTGACTGCTTGTTTCGCAGTTTTACTGTATTCTAAGTTAATAAACCAGCCTTATCTGCAACGAGTGAGTATAAACAATTCGGTGAGCAGATGACATGGCGCGAATGAATACATCTGGAGGGGCTACCCCTTCTTATTGGCTGAGAGACCCTATGGCATCCACAGTGCTGAAGGGAACTTCTGAAACGGAGTATAGGATACACAATTGCAACTTTGTAAAGTCCTCTGTCAGCGAACACACTTTGTATAACTTTGTTCTTAATCTTTTCATCTCTTCACTTTATTTCACTCTCTTTCTATGCGAGTTCTCACCTCTTCCTCACCTTCACATCCTTTTCCAACCCACCTGCTCTGCAACACAAGGCTACTATGCTATGCCTAGTGTGCACCCATGTTGCAGAAGAACAAAGAGCCTGTAATTTCCCCACCAACCAATTTCACTAGGATGGTTTGTCAGATATATATGGGCAAATGGAAAGTACAGCTAGAATGGTATATTGCATAGGCGAGATGTTTCTCCTTACCGCCGTTTTAGTGACTAATTGGAAGAGGACATTACTTGATGTATTCGCTTCAGAGTTGAATACAAACGCTTTAGTGCTACTTGCTCGTCTGCAGTTGCAATACAAGCAGAATGAACATATGAATTCTCTGTATTGAATCGTTTCTAAGTGCCATGTCTATATTGAGGAAAGAAAAAAAATGGAAAAAAGAAACTGGACAGCCAAGTGGTTACAATGCTCGCCTTCAGATCACGAGTTCAAATCTCACCTCAGTGAGAATTTTGTTTTTGCCAAAAATTTCTTTTTCTTCATTTCTCTCCCCATCAGAGTTATGGCTGGCACCCATGCCAGACAAATTAATGTATGTGTTCTTGGAGCGAAGCAGAAGAGGAAGACGAAGGAATGAGGAGAGCGGGTGCTCATCCATGATAAGTTTGTACGCCACAGAGCAAGCCAAGCATAACAGCTCTGCTGAGGAAGCTAAGGCAGGGAGGGATGGCAGGGGCAAAGAAAATAGATCACGCTCGCCTTGTGACCTTGAGCATTGTTTTTTCTTCGAATACGCGGTTCTTTCGATGTGATCGCACAAGCACGTGTGGACAAGTGGCAGTCCTCCTGCAGCGATCCCTGTAACAACCGAGCGCGCCATGTTCAAATCAGCCAATGGCTGCCAGATGGCCTTCTACGAGTGATTTTCGAGCGTCCTCTGTCATTTGTAGCGAAGAGAAAGCAATTTTCAGCCGACTTTATTGGTTTATTCTTAATTTCAGGGCGCGTGCTGCGCTATAATAATTGGCTCGCGTGTTCTCAGGAGCTCTACTACCGACCGGCAGCGTTTTCTTACCATGCTCAAAAAGTGTTGCAGGGCCCCTTTAAGACCCAACGGAACTAATGAACAGTCTAAACAATACACTTCTAGAGACGTGGATACCACTCTTGCAAGTTATGTGCGACACTAAACAGAACCTTGCCTTTTGCTCTCTCCTGCACTCGATACAGAACATGAATAGGTACTAAGAGACACATTCGTCATTAGCGACTTCGAGTACTAAGCCACGAACAAGTTGATTAGAGCTTGTCTAGCCTGTTTTATCCGTGACAACTGGACAGATAGTATTTGTGCACCTATCGCGCAGCGTACGTTTTGATGCCTTGCCAATTCTAAAACGCCGGCGGGGGAGCTTTGCGCAATCAGTGACCACCTCCTGTGATTTCTCGCGAAGCGCTTAGCGTCATCTGTGCCAACAGTGTAATACGTTCTGTCACATATACAAGATGACGAGTAGTTGGGCAACAGGTACCGGTGTACGACGGGCATGTTTGACTAGATGACGCAGCTTGTAGGGGAAAAAAAAAAAACGCGAACGCGGCCTGAAAAACGACTGCGGGGTGACCAACACGCCAGCGCGCGGAAAATCTGGCAGTTTCCTTTCCCAGCGGTCGGTGACTTATGCGCCGCTCATCCAAGACAACGCGCTTTTAAGCCGCGGGCAAATTAACAGCCAGAGTTGAAAGACACGGCTGACACCGCTTACGATCCCGCCAATTTCCAAAACGGTATACGCGGGTGTACGACGGATGAAAACAAGCAATATGACGAGGGAAGGGCGTACATCAGACTTAAACAAGAGGCTATTCGAGTCTTGCGTGCAAACAGGCTTTTCTTTTTTCTTTTTCATTCGTCAAAGCGAGAGATGGCCTCCAATGAAGCCGCACCGCTGGCAGTTGACTCGCGCTCGCTGCGGTAAACCGACTTCGCGGGTGTTCTCAGCCGAGGCTCCGAGACGGAAATACTCACCGATTGGGACTCTTCTTTGAGTCCATGGCCTAAAAGCAGTGCGAACTGAGATGCGCGCTTCTTTGCATTGCAGGGCAGTGCTGGTGGCTACGAAGATATTGGTGTGCTAGAGGCAGTGATCGTAGAACCGACACCCAATGTGCCATGACTGGCGGCGGGTGCAGCGGCAAACTTGCAGCGCGGTAGGTCTTGCGGGCTGTCCACAATCGGCGCAGCACAGGCACAACACCACTGCCACAATGCGCACTGGGCGCGCAAGACTCCGTACGCGGCGTCGTAGTACATGAAAAGACGCTCAAGATGGCTGGCACATTTAGTCACGTGACCTTGTTTTGATCTTTTAGGCTTAGCGCTGCCTCCGCAATTGTTGGCCGTTTGCTAAAACTAGCGCTAGTGAGTTAATAATTAAAAAAAGTTTAAAAACACTGTATTTGCTAAAAATAAAATAAATAATGTAGTCAATGTGAAAATAATAACGCAACAAATTTAATTAAAAAATAATATGAAAACTTCAACTATCAAAAAAGGCGCGAGATTTGATATTTAACGTAGACCCTGTGACTCCATCGCTAGTATATCTGAATAAGATCACATCTGTTGAAAGCTCGATCCCAGCTTTAGTGACCGAATTTATGTGGGGCGCGCTCAGGTTTCTAAATAGTTCAAATGGGCATTTTGTCCCCCCTACAACGTGCCTTGAGTGCAGGGGCATAGCCACGGGGTGGCACTCCGTACCCGTGCAACATAGGGTTACTGTATATGCTACCTTTACCTGGTGGTAGTGGTTAGAAGATGATGCTACCTTTACCTAAAGGTAGCATATACTGTATATGCTACCTTTACCTGGTGGTAGTGGTTAGAAGATGATGCTACCTTTACCTAAAAGAGATGCTACCTTTACCTAAAGGTAGCATATACAGTAACTCTAGTGCAACAAAAACCCGTGCCCCCCTCTCCCGATTTTTTTCCCGCCATGCATGCAAAGTGCAAAACAACCATTTGCTTACCCAAAGATGAATAAGGTGCCCCCTCCCTTTCCGAAAAGAATTTCTGCGTACAGCCCTGGCCTTGTGTGTTATGCACGATTACAATGTAAATTAAGAAGACAGATTTTATTTCAATAAAAAATCTCCACAGATGTCTGCCAGTCAGTCAGCCATTCGGTTTGACGAGGCCTGTTCCCCATAAAAATGACCTCCGATCAGTATCTGCATGTGCTTCTGACTCATCCGTAGTGGCAAGATGTGGCAAGACAAAAAATTAAAACCTGTCTTGGAGGTATGTTGAAATGAACGTGCTCAGCGTACATGCTACAACCTTGCACAATACTAGCATCCGTGATAAGAGGAACAGGTCTAGTGAGCAAGAACGTATTATATATGTCAATAACGAAATACAATTACAACTTTTCTAAAAAAGATGTACGCTCAGGACGTTGTATGCCACCCCAACCACACTTCTACTGAACAGCCACAGCCGCTCCACAGAACACCTATATATGCCGCTCGATATCGAGCGGCCACCGCCACAGGCTATGCCGAGAGTTTCTTAAGCGAAACCGAAACTTGATTGACCGTCGCCGCCGACGTCAGGGAAAACACCCACCAATGCGACCAATCGTAGCGCAGCGCTACCCTCTCCGCAGCGGAGCCTCGTTAAATCGCCCCGCTAGCCTTCGCGATAGATACGCAGCCGTAGGCAGTGAGCGTAAATTGTAAACAACTCGCCGCCGAGCGAAGTTTGAGGAAGCGCGCACTGGTAAGGGACCGGGCACCTGAGTTGGCTCCGAGGAATGTGAGGCAGCCACGCGAATTCATGTTGCGAGGTCCGCAGCTGCTTCGGCGCTTGCTGCGGCGGCTGCCACCTCGGCACCATCGCGGCTGGTGCAGTGGTGGTTCGACACCAACGGGGAACCCGGCGCCCCAGGGTCGCGGCGATTTGCTCTCTCTTCGCCCTTCGGAGCTGGTGGACTTCCTGCGTTGTCGAGGCATCCAACGCTGCTACGCGGTGTGCGACGATGGCGGCACCGTGCGCGTGTCGCACCCCGAACTCCAGGACCTGGCCGACTGGCTCAACTCGGGGTCCGAGCAGCAGTTCCGATCGCACGAGGCCATTCTCATGCAGCTGGGTCTGCGGACGGGCTGCCTCATGACCGCCTTCCTCTGGCGCACCGACCGTGGACAAGCCGTGCGATCATATATACACACTTCACCGGGGTTTAGTTTGCGCTGCTTTGTAAAGGCAGTATGCAGTCAGAGTGTCGTGCATATAAGAGAATGAAATTGAGCCTGTTGGTAATACATAACTAATTAGGTAACGCGTAAAAAATGTGTCCCTTTCGTTGTCCTGTGCCTCGCATTTTTTACGCGCTACGTGATTAATGGTGCACTTAGTTTCAGGGAAAAAAAAGTCTAGGCCACGCATGTTTCGGCTTCTCTTGATCATCTGTATAGAATACTTGAGCGTTGATGGAGCGCGTGCCAGTTCAAGATGATGATATTTATTTTATCTACGTCACACGGTGAACTTCGACCATAACCACTATGCTGTACAAATATGCGCCAGTTACCTTGCATGTGGTTCGGTTTGGGCACCTAGGATTGCTGGCTATCTGCTCTGGGAACCGATCCCATGTTTCAATCTGGCGTCGTTGAAATTAAAGGTTTTTCCGCTATCCTTAAAGAGCCTTGTTGCCATAGTAGTGCGATGCTACTTAACATGAGGGGTCTAGAGAATGCTAGTCAAAATGATGTGCTTTCCTGTATCTCGTGTGTTTTTTCACCCTCTGTTGCGTTATTAACACTTTTTATTGAGCTCGTTAAAATGCGCAATAGTTTTTATTGCAGTGGCTTTTGTGCTAAGAAAAATTGCCTTTTGGAAGGTGTTATTATGACTTTGACAGTCTTATGAATTTCACATGAGGAGCAAATGTAGACAGTGCTGACAATAAGGGTCTGTTCAACACGACTTTCGATTAAAGCTTGCCTGGAGCACTTATCTCTAGACAGCTGTAACAGACAGCCTAGTACTCTATTATTGTATGAGTGCTTTGTTAACCATATGCTTGGCAGAAACACATAGAGCAACTGGCATTAACATTTCTCTGTAAATTTACAGACCAAATGTAGAACTGTTTCATTCTCATTTGAGCTACGAAACAAACCACGAATAGAAAAATGTGGGTCACGAGCAAATTTGTTAAGTAGCTACTTAGTCATTTCGAGCATTTATGCTCGCAATGTTTTTAAATTGGTCCCACACTTTTGAATTGGTCATTTGTATTTTGAACAAGTGCACCAGCCATCTCTTAGCATGGCCAAGTATGATGCAGTCTAAGTGACAGGTATGCTAGCATGATACATGCGATATTATTAACTTTGCAGCCCTCTAATCAATTAACAGACCTGTCTAAGAAGTCGGGCTGGCATAAGAGGACCATTAGTGTTTGGTAATGATCTTGCATTCGCAAGAGGCATTGGATAAACAAAATTAAGGCTTGTTTTCCTACTTCCATGAGTGAGACACACCATGATATGGCTAGAATTTTATTTTTGGGTAGAAGCTTCGCCTACTGTTGTGTATATTTCAAATCTCTTAGAAACTGCCGGCATTTAGTGTGCATCAATACAGGTCTCAAAACAGTTGCAATTTTCGTAGCAGCTGAAGAATACTCACAAACCTCGTGTGCAGATGCTAACGCGTGTACACTTGGGCCAAGGACGAGAAAAAAACACCTGCCATGTGTTCACTTCACAGTGATTACTTCTGTTTTCCTAAAAAAAAAATGAGGAGGAAAGCCATCTGTATTGAGGTACATGTAGTGACCCATTTGTACAGTCTCATGTATGAAGAGCCTGGAATTTGTTAAGAAAAAGCTTGGTGAGCTATTTGTTGACCAAGTTTCCTGTTTGTTAATCAATTTGAAGTCTATCGTTGCCGGGTGCACAAAATAAAGTTAAGGTCTTTTCCTGTTTAGGAACTCTCTGGTGTAGAGTCATTGGAAGTTACATTTGTGGTAGTCTATTATAACAATTGAAACATTTATTGTAACTGTATTACTATAACTATATATAGTATTCTAAAAAATCTGAATGTTTCTGCTTTGAAATAAGCATTGCGTTAGGGGTTTTACTAATAAGTGAAGCTGTATTTGTGGGGCCATTATCTTGCATAAAATGTGCTGGCTTTTAGAGGAGCAAATTTAAAATAGGATGGAGCACAATCAAATAACTTTCAGTATTTTAAACCATGTCAAGCAATTATTTAGGTAAGGTGGTTATGCCAAGCAGTATAATAATTAATGAGGACACACGAAGTAGTTATAAAGCTATATTGCATCATAATTTTTGCACGGTGTATATCGGATACACAAGATTGATATTGGTAACTTCTCTTGAATCCATCCAAAGCAGAAGTTGTCAAAATTCTATATCACTGTTCATTTTCAGATGCATTTTTTTTTATTCCAACCTTTGTATCATCGTCTTCTGCTTATTATGGAATTTAGGGTACTCTTTCCTACCCTATACTGCAACTGCACATTCCATAGTGTGTACTGAATTCTGAAAAACATTGCAAGATGGTATTTTTTTCTTACTTTTGGATAATTTGTTTAACATTATTTTGCTTCGGTAAGGTTGGGTGATAGTGGTAACTAATTTAGTGGTTGGCTCAGGATCAATTTGTGTATGCTTATTCATTCTAATTAAACTCAAAATTTGTGCAGTCATTCTTTTGTGCGAGTTTAGTCGACGACGATGCCGGTGTGCCTTCACAAGTTCAGCTGTGATCGAAAATTGCACTTTTAAGAAGTCCTGAAAAATAGATTAATTTCTGTCGGCTATCCACTGCGAAGCTGTTAAGGAAATACTGGCATACTTCTTTAATTGGTGATAGTATAAGTGTATCCAAGCAAAATTCAATAGAAAGCCTTCTCGATTTCATCAAGTTGAATTGGAGTTTTTTTATTTGAGAATGAAATGAAGTTCAACCAATGATTCGACAACTTCACATGACACTGCAATTCATGGTTATATCTTACAAGTGTCTAGTAGCTAAGACAAACCTTTCTTCTAAATGAACTTGGGTGTATAAATTCACAATATAAGCCTTGTCTGTCTGCGTTCCTCTACAGTTGCCACCTCTACACCCATGTCATCTGTCTTCTAAACAGAGCACTTCTTGAATGTGCGGCATAAAATAATCCCAGTGCTACGAAAACATTGGTTATCCTTAAAGGGGCCCTGCAAGACTTCTTGGGCAGTTTGAAAATGTTGCTGACATTTAGTCGGGGCTTCTGAAAACAAGGGAGTCAAATATCGTACTACACGCAGCAGGAAATTCACAATTGCAGTTGTAAAAATGTTTTCAGAAATTAATTTTTTTTGTTTCAATGTTGTCGCCACCTATTCAGCTGGCAGGTTCGACTATTCATCAAGCGGGATGGACAGGTCAGACAATCTTGGGAGTTCTTGTCTCAACTTGAAGTGTTAGCCGATAGCTTCAAAAGAAGAAAGAAGAGAAATGGTGCTAGGTCATCGCACACAGCGACGACCTTTGGATGCGGCATCATGCCTTTGCGATCCCTTCATGTATAGTTCTCAGTGCACATAAAAGAATGAAAAAAGAGGGGAAAGTGCTTAGCTTCTATGTCAACTACATTTATACTTAACAGTTATTGTGGCAGCAGATTTTCAAAGCAAATGAGCCCAATAAAGAAGCCATTTTCTGACAACTCTGGAAGGTGTTCTGGGGCCCCTTTAAGTGGTTATGGCAACTTGCCAACAACTCATAAAAAAATTTAAGACCTTAGATGTTTTTATGAGTAAGCTGTATTCTGTGAGCTACATACAGCTGTATGAAGACACACTAATATTTCAGCTGTCCTTGTTAGTAAAACAATACCCTTCAAAAATGTTTTTCCAATGTGTGAACATTCATGATCACAAAATGTCGTGGGCTCTGTCGAACATACTAGACATTGGTTTCTCACGTCGCATTTACAGAAATATCCATATGTAATAAGGACATCCTAATTAGTGTTAAAATTAAAAATTTACCTTATCGAGTGCCCTGGGACAAAAACGTGTTGCTTAATGTTCTTACTCGACCAAGTTTGGTAAAAAAAAAATTTTTTCGAGACTCCATATCAAAGCTGGATTCAAGCCTAGAGTACAAATTTGGTGTTTCTGTTAACAGTGGACCCTACTGCAGTATTGACAAGATCCAACTACTATTTGACTATATGAAGTTGCTTTTTCACTTCTCGGGCCTGTTCTCTGCTTGCTTGATATCAATCTTGCACTCGGACAGAGTATAATTCAAAACTGTTCCTGAGTGTTCTTTAATACAGGGAAATGTTCCAAATAATTCCATGGAGCTGGAGTACGCCATTAAGTATTTTCTAAAAATATTAAACTGTCGGAATAGTGTGCAAGAATGCGAGGTTCGCTCCATGCTTGTAAAGATGTACTCTTTATGAAATTTCGTATGACTACCTACTGCTGCACACATTGTGTTTTCAGTATGGAGGCATTCGATTGCAACCATATTCGAGCGTGGAGCAGCTTTTGCGGGACGGCCTACGCCAGTCAACCCTCTTGGGAATCAAAGCAGCCTTGGCTGGTGTCTGGTATGTATTTTCTTTTCCCCTCTGCTTAGCAGCTAAGACAATACACCGCTGAAGGATGCAGGCTCAATTTGTGGTCATAGCAGCCACGTTTTGATGTTGATGGTGGTGAAAATGTTGGAACACTGATTACTTTGATCTATGGGAATGGGAAAGAGCCCCGGGAGGCCATGTTTAATCCAGTCCCCCAGCATGGGGCTGTAATCGGTTTGTGTGATTGGCATGTAAAATTTCCGATTTATTTTGATAAATTTTTTCCTACCAGATATGGTGGTGTAATAGTTATGGTACTTGACTGCTGACCCGAAGGTTGCGGGATCGAATCCTGTCTGTGGTGGCCGCATTTTCGATGAAGGCAGAAATTCTACAGGCCCATGTAGTACTTAGGTTTAGGTGCATGTTAAAGAACCCCAGGTGGTTTAAACTTCCGGAGGTCTTCAATATGGCGTCCCCCATAACAATATCCTGTTTCTGGGATGTTGAACTCCAACAGTCTTATTATTATCATTCTTTTTCCTTCTTAGATTTCTAAAAGAGAACCTACAAGGAAATGCAAATCAATGCAAATAAAAGGAAAAAAATATTGGACACTGAATTCAGGAGTATGCTAGTGTTCATCAAGGATCAAGTTTTAGCTTAAGAAATAAAAAAAAAGGAGGGTGTGTATGTTGCTCGTAAGTTAACAGGCAGAACAAATCGCTCAGAAATATAAGAAAACCAGTGTTGGCACATTTTTTTGCCCATTCTCGAACAGCATCTCTATATAAGCATTCGACACTATAAGCTTCATTTACCGAAGTCTTATTTTCTTCAGTTTTAGACTGTTTGTTCAGTTTTATATTATTTAAATTTAGATTTTTCTACTCGTTTATTAGTTTTTTTCATCAGTCATGTACGCAGTGTCCTAGTATGACCTTCTGACTGTGGGACCTTGTACCCCTGTCACACTTGCCTCGCTGACACGCAGCATCGACAATCTTTTTTTCTATGTTTTCTTTGAAACTCCCAATTAAAAGTGTGACGCTATCTTTCAAAATGGAATCAGTCAAAATAAAATGACATGTATCGGTACAAAAAATACAATGTCCTTCTCTGATCATTGTAGCTGTTGTCTTTTGTGTGTGTCCAGGGCTGTTAGGTTGCCGGCGTCAGCCATACATGTTATGATGACACAGTTGCTACAGTGCACGTGACGCAAGCATTGCCCTGGAACCCCGAATCTGTCGACCTACTTACAATAGTACTTATGACAATAAGTTTTAAAGCACTTTTTATGCTTTCTGTGAGGTATTAAATTTATTTATATGAACCTAGGTGACAATTAACATTTGTCAATTTTTTTTCACCGGTTCATAGTTGCTGGCACTCAATAATTTTGAGTACTCTTTCGGGGCAATGACATAGATTGACGAACATTGTTTCCAGAAAAGATCACTTCCGAAAAAGAAATCGCCTGCTGGCGTGTGTCTGCGGGCGAAATTCTTTTTCGGAACAAGTCTTCTCATTCAAAATACATGGAAGGGGTATTAGTCTGCATATTCTTTAAAAAAAAAACACATTTTGCAAACTCAAGTAAAACTTGCCATGTCAAGCCTGCTCTACAGGAGCACACGTTGCCTGTGAACCAAGATTAAGTGACAGTAAAGAGCAGCTTAAGATTTGCTAGAAAGCACCATGTAAGCTTTGTAGAAGCCCTGGCGCTGATATTCAGAAGTGTTCTGTGCCAACTTAAGTGCATCCTACGCAGGCTGGGTGGCGGCAAAGGCATCATTCCACAGCCTGAGAACCGGCAGCACGTGCAACCTGAATTCCGGCAAGCGCTTTTCTTCGATTACGGAGACTTCCTGTCATCTCTCAATGGCTGCTATGGTTAGTGCTTTATGCCATGCTTTAACAACTCTCGCGTACTGCAGTCAGAAGTGTAGTGCGTTGCGCTCAACTGTAAACTTAGCTAACTGCAGGACATAAATATGCACATACATTTTACACACAAAAAATGATAATACTACTATAAAGATCCACCAGAGTGAAACTTATTATACCGGCAGGGGAACCTGTAAAAGACCCTAAGAGATTACAATACAACCAAGGAACAAAACACAGCACAGGATGATCTCCACAAGAGATAGGCAAGTTTATAATGTTGCATCTTTTTACTGGTTCTACTGTAGTTTTAACCAGACTCATGTACATGCCAGCTTAACCAGCAGGTGAATCTTATGGTACTGCTGGAGTAGTACTTATCCACCCTGCACTCAAAGGCCTTATATACAGAGCATAAGCATTTTTGAACAAGGGAGTAATACTACAGACAATGTGTAGACAAGCAGTCTTGTCTTCTTTAATGCTGCAACCTTAAAGAAGACCTCCAAGACTGCAATCTTTAAGGTTGTTGCTTCGAGAGAGACGAGACTGCTCGTCAAAACGTTACCTGCAATATCTTTCCTGCGTTCCCAATTCTTGGTCTCTTTGAACTTCTGTCTTTGTCTGAAGTTCTGCCTTATTTGTATTCCCTACAGATTTGAATTATGATGTATTGTCTCCAAATGAGTCAAAGTCACATGTAGTATAATTCCAAGATACTCAATAGCACATTCCAAGAAATAAAATGAAGAAATGTGCTATTTTGTGTGAGTTTCAACAATTAATGTTCATTAGTGTTTAATTAAATATCCAATTATTTCACCACTGGTCAGCTTTGATTCTAGTGTGAGAGGAATCAAATACTATCACTCCCAAAATGCATGCCCAGTTTGTCTTTTAAGTGATAACATCAAAAAACTCATTCTGCAGAAATTCCAGTGTTGGTGTCGGCATTAGTTGTGAGCGAAAAATTATGCGTGACCGAAAAATCGAAAATGATGCAAATAAAATAAACAAAAACTGGGTCAGAGTGAGAATGGAACCTGAGTGGGGGGGCAGGGCGGGGGAATCAAACCTTCGTTGTTTGCATGGCAAGCGGATGTTCTATTACACAGCCATGCCTCTGCTCGTGAATTCAGGGAAAATAACTTCCAGTGCTTGGAAATGCAGTGAATGTAACTTTCATGCTTTACAAAATCACACGTCCTGTATGCATGCTTCACAATACACCATGAAGTATTGCAGTAATAATATGTGGTACTAACGTACATTGCTATCGGGCGTCAGAAAATGCGATTATCATAATGACCTCTTGGTTTTAAGCCGGTCACCCACTATAAAAGGCACACACGTTACTGCGTTTATTCACACGATACTGCTCCTATACTAAGGCCACGTAGTTGGTGCATGGCAAGTTAAAAAAAAATTGATACACTAAGTGTTTGAAATACGCTTTAGGGACAGGATATCGCTATCGTGTTCAACTTTTAAACGTAAAGATTACGAGTCCTGCAATTTCTGGCTGTAATTGTTTTGAGCCAAGAAAAATAATAGTCTTGACATTAGTCTAGGAACGGCCCAACTCGTTGAATGATCATTGAAAATGGTAGTATCTCCATAAAAGTGATCCTCTGCAGCGTTATGACAGTTACTTGCCCACCCAGCAAGCCTGCACAAATCTGGACCCTGCATCTCAAGCTGTTTAAAGACACACGCGACGTGTGACACGCCTTCATAGTTGGTGTGTACAATCGCACACACCACCACTGACGATGGTGTACAGAGCTAGCACACTACAGATGGACCGGGAACCAAAAGTATTCCTCAAGTTTATCTAGCACCAATAACAATGTTTCAGGCATTTGATGGAGAGCTATGTAGCCGTTGCAGTTTCATACCTTTATTGGCCACCCTTCCTGCGGAATTCTTTTCTTCTGATCTCGTGCTCCTGCCAGCATCTTACAACGCAGAGCAACCTGTGGGTGTTGGGTCAGCTGACGAGATATATGGTTCTTGACTTGTGTCTGTGCAGTGGCAGGCCTGGACATTGGAGTGAATAGCCAGGACATGGCCAATGTTCATGTGCGCACCCACTGGGCTGTCAATGTACCGGGAGACATGGGTGGCTCTGCTAACGCTGCCCCACTGCTTGCTCGAGGTAAGAACTAGCATTGGTAAACTGTCGAGTTGGATAATAGCTACAGAAAACTGTGGTATATAGTGGTGCCATAAGCTCGCTGAGCCTGAATATAATGCTTAGTGAGCATTATTTTTTTCTTTTGTGTTGTGTGCAGGTGTTTGTCATCACTTTGTCCTTCGAATGGTACTTCGAAGGTACTTCGAATGATCAACATCGAGTGCTAAGAATTTTACGAATTAACAGTCTCTCCGGCCAAGTGTAGTTTATAGTTTTTAATATTGAAATTAATAACTGACGGTAAAGACAGGGACAACTGCTTAGAAAAGTCACTAGCTTCGAAGCCAGCCTGACAGTCATGATCTCCCATATGAAGAGACCAAGTGGGTCTCAAAATGTAAGGCGATTTTTTAGTTTTAATATTAAAACTATAGCCTAAACATTGCTGGAGAGTCTATTTATTCATATAATTTTTTACCCAGCCAGACAGATCTCTGCCAAATATATTTACCATCAAAGTGTGAAGAATGCATTCACTTTGTTAATTCAGGGTACAGTGCTCCAGCTGAGAATATGTTTTGATGTGCTTGGACCTTTGAGCTTGGGGCATGACAGAGATCAGAGGTTTTGATCACTAATTATCAATATTTGATGTGTTTTCTCGGGTGCAAATGTCAAGATAGTTAAAACATAACATAAAACTGAGTTAAAATAGCGTACTTTTGAAAAGATTCGCAAGGTTTCAGGCTGGTTTTCTTACAACCAAGTGTACAATTGCGCATGCTTCGCCGAAATATTTAAAATGCAGCTATAGAGTGATGTTATCACTTTTGTGGATTCCATGAACCTCTATGCGCTGCTTACAGTGTGTGTGTAATTGTTTGTATCATATGTACTGATTGCTTAATTAATAATTGAGTGAGTGACTGGTTGATTGATCTGCTTGTAGGAGTTGTGTGCGCACTGGAGGCCATGTTGGAGCACAACCAATTGGGCAGCCTGCGAGGCAAGAGAATCTGTGTTCAAGGCGCTGGAAGCATTGGCAAGTTCTTCGCTCTAGACAGCATGCAATTTTTTTCTTGAGTGTATGTGCGTTCACTTGACTGCAACAATAAACGATTGGTGACACTTGTGTGTAAGTTACACATGATGCATCATTGTGCAACTCTGATGCCAGTATGTTGAATACATTAAAGAGCTATTTTCATAGCAAGGATGTAACGGCTTTCAACTTATGTCGGCTAATAATGGCATGATAAGGTTAAAGGTCACATGGCCGTATATACAGTAGACTCTCAGTAAACGGAAAGCTTTTAAACGAAACAACTGCCTCTGATACCATTGGTTTAGTACCTGAATATTACAACCCTGTTTGTCTCTTGATAAGCGGAACTCCTGTTAAACGGAACAAATTTTCATGGTCCCTTAACATGGTCCCTTTCATGGTCCCTGTTTGATGAGTCTACTGTACTATGCACTGTTGCAACTTGCATGCATCATTGATTGACCTTTTCAGAGGTAGTTATTATAATCTTCCTTAGGTTATTGCAAAGTAGGCAGGTATGGAAATGAGGACAAAGCAGAGTGAGCAAATGTTTTGACATTACAGCTAGACCGTTTTGCAACCTAAATGTATGTTATCTTGAAATAGTGGTCTTTATGTAGAAATGCGGAACTGCGACTGCTTGAATTGGAGTTAGCCACAGGCCTTCTAGACATGCACATGCATGTACTAATGCTCTGTATAATGTAATTTTTTCTGCTATTACTCCCTCTTCTTCATTGAGTAACATGCTAGGAGTATGCCTAAAAGGGCCCTGCAATGTTTTTTCGTCTGAATTCTGCAGCGCTGGAGTGCGTTTAGTGCTTAATACTGAGATGACTGTAACAAGAATTATCGAAATTCGTGCACAGTGGTGAGTCGTTAGTGGTGAGTCGTTCGAAATTCAGAACCTTAGCAGACAACGAGAAAAAAAATTTGCCTTTTGCATTTCACTCTCCCACTGATGTCAAAAGCCGGTTCCAATCACCGCACACCTCTTACAGGGACATATCGAAAGACTCGCCTCGTGGTGGCATTCGTGCAGCTCACCTAGCATAATTTTGGAATTATTTTCAAGATTTTATATTTAAAGACAGAAATCATTATGTATTGAGGAAGTGTAAGGAGTGCTTTTAAAATTTCAGCCCATAATAGTGTGACACAGCTAAGACCATATGAATATCACATGCAACTTGTCATCTAAAACCAATCAAATCCCCTGGCCAATGTCGTCACTCTAGTCCGAATCGCATGTAGTTTCTTCATAGAAATAAAATTATAACAGCTTTATTTTTCACGCTGCCACTTGTGCTAAGATATCGGTGCATCCCACAGTTCCAGGAGAAGCGATCAAAACTACACACTTAAAATTGTGTCGCAGGGCTCCTTTAACATGACCTTGTCAAAAACCATTAATGAATGTTAAGTCTCATGTAGTCTACATTAGGTTCAATGTTAAAAAAATTTTTAATAAATGACATTTTGTTTCTGTGGCTGCGATGCAGGACGGGCGGTGGCTCTCAGCTTGGCCGACCACGGCCTCGCACAACTGCACGTCACGGATGTCCACCAAAAGCGGTGTGACGACATTGCCGATCTGCTTTCCCCAAGGGTGAGTGTGGTCAGTCGCAGCACCTGACACTCTAAGAATATCACTGTGCCTTTTTCTTGCAATGCAGATTGTTTGGTGAAAAAGTGAGGGAACTCTAATGGTTCCTGTCATGTGGCCATCTGCAGTTAGGTGCAGTATGTAAATGGCAGTCTCTCATGCCTTTCCCTCTCATATGCTCTGTTTCATGGGTAGTAGGCAATGCAAAAAGTCGAAAAAGAGTTGTTTTACTGCTTGAACTGGTGCCCAAGAAATGTATGTAAATCACAAGTAATGTAACACAGTAAAACATCCCACATAATGCTTCACAGTTTCTTCGTGGAAGTCTTCACAGATGTCATCCGATTTAGTTCAGAAAAAGTGATGTGTTTCTGAAAAATAAACAGCTTTAGAATGCTACATATGCTAGTGTTTGCAACCAAGACATAACACAGCTGCATACTACAAGCAAAATGCTGCACACTTAATGTCCAATTTTACATTACCGTACATTGTCAAACTGTAGTTCTTATTTATCGGTTGCTATGTAAGCTGGTTGTTAAACTGGTTTTTCTGTTATAAGGGGGCCACAGAAAAAGAATGCCTGTCCATCCAAGGCATAACATCCGATAAGTTCATCATACATGGAAATCTTTTCAGCATGCAAAACTATCTGGAAAATGAGGTGACATGACAGAGAGCTTGCTTTTTACAATGATTATTTGGGCTATTGGCGAGATAAAAAGAATATAGTAATTACATGACAAAGTTGAAGACAATATTGCTGTTTCTTGTTAAGGTATGCCAGTACTACACTCAAAATGCTCTGACTATTTTTATCGGCAACGCATAGTAGTCATCATGAATGCTATCACAATTTTTTAGTGCGACCACTACGAAAGGAAGTGTAAAAATGGGAAGGTCGTAAACGCAACCCTGTGCCAGCTTATGGGAGTGGCGGAGCATTAAGAACTAGGAAAACATAACAAGCGAGAACTTCATGAGATTTTGCTGTTTATTCACCACAAAAACAAGCTGGCGAACGCATTCCTGTGACTGCAGTATATGCACAGCCTTCACCACATTGCCCATTGCTCACGAAACCTAGTGTACAGCTGTTCTAGGCCTGATAGTTTTTCTTTGTTTGTGTCTCATAAGCATTTGGCATGCTTTGTCTCTGTGTGCAGCTGGGTAACCGTCTACAGGTGTCACGTGTTCCCCATGGTGATCTAAGCCTCCTGGCCGAACCGTGCGACATCTTCGTACCTTGCGCCATGTCCCATGTATGTACATCACATCCTTATTTCATTTTTTGAAATGGCTCCTGTATGTACTGCGCTATGAAGCAACAATAAAGAGCTTCAACGTGTATATAAAGGGGCCCTGCAACACTTCTTGAGCATGATCAGAAAACGCTGCCTATCGGTAGTAGAGGCACCCGAGAACACGCGAGCCAAATATTATAGCAGCATGTTGCCTGGAATTCACAATAAATTATCAAATTTGGTTAAAAATTGCTCTCTCTTCTTTCGACAAATGACGGAATCACAAAACTAACTCGTAAAGGCCCTTTTATTAATTATTGGCTGATTTGAGCATAGTGTGCTCATGAATTGCAGGGATCGGTGCGGGAGGCGATCCCTGTAATGCGTGAAATGAATGTAATGAAAATGCTCAAGATCACGTAGTAACCTTGAGCACTTTTGACCGAGAACACGATGAATTCTGAAACTAAAAGGCTCTTCTTTCTGAGAAATCCGTATGGATTTTCTTGTGGCTTCTTGCTACAACGGGTGGTTGTGTACTTTCCCTTTCTTGACCCTTCCGCCACCTTGCGGGCTTCAGCAGAACTCATTTGCAAGCAATCATAGATAGCAACAAGCGACTTAGTTTTGAAGGTACGTACATGGCCAGTGCACGTGGAATAAAAGCGGAACTACCTTTTGCCGCAACCGCTGCAAACAAAACCGTGATCGCTTTGATGCGATCATCCATAGTCACTACGAGCTTTGAAGGTACGCGGCTAATGCAGCGGTAGATTAAAGGCGATAAAGGCATAACAAGAAGTTATGTTCGTGCCGATCTTTGTTTATAACTACGGTGGAGCGAACTTTAGAACTTTCCAGTTTGCCTCAAGCGAAGCTTCGACGCGCACTTTCACGGAAGATGAATACGCCGTCCCTTAGTGGTCCGTTTGCTTGTGTCCCACAAAAACGCACGCGAGTTGTTTCGAAGGAAACAAATCTTTTGTGTGTGTATATCAAAGTTTGTAAACCGCTTTTGCTAGTTTTTTTCTTTCTTTTATACCATCTTCGGGCGTTAAGAATATTTACGTTACCGCTTAAAATTGGTACCAATTGTCATGTATCGCCAAGATTCTATTGTTTAGACACTCAACCTGGGTTATTTATAAGCCATTATAAAACCTCAATGCCAGTGTTTACTGTTACAGGGCTGTTCTGGACCTGTACCCTTTCAGCAATGGTTTTGTGTGTGTGTGTGTACGTGCAGGCGTGCTTGCATGTGTGTCTGTGTGTGTGCGTGCAGGCGTGCTTGCATGTGTGTGTGTGTGAGAGAGAGAAAAAGAGAGAGAGAGAAAAGCAATAGTAAGAAAGCAAAACTTATCACTCCCCACCCCGTTGCAGAAATCACCCGTATTCAAAATTCTTGAAATTGGCAGGTATGTAGCATGCCATTTTATTGTTGTGAAGCGCAGTAGCTTTGCAGTTAAATACTTTTTTTATAGTGCTGGTACTACGTAACGTTTCTACTGTACCTAGGGAATACCGGTATTACAGTGAAGTCACATTCCAGGTCCTGACTCCAGACACCATTCCAAGCATGGAGGCCAAGATAGTATGTGGTCCGGTAAACGAGCAGCGGCTCTCAGACTCAGACTGTGACCTCTTGGATGAGCACGGTGTACTTTACGTGCCGGAGTACATCTTCAACCGCATGGTGTGTAACCTGGCATAATTTGCTTGTTTATTAATTCCTGCACTGACTGCATAACTTGTGCTTACCTTCTGGTGTCTCACAAATGGCACAGAGAATTTTAAGATATTGCCAGCAATACGGCAAGCCAACTTCTCACAGCTATTCCAATGCAGCTGCAATATGCCTTCGTGAAGTCACCTTTGCAGAATATTGTGATTTATTAATATTACAATATCTGCCTGTAGAGATGTAAACACATTATTTCCCTGAACATTATGCATTTTGCGAAACTCTTCATTCTTTCCTTCAAATGTCGGCTAGAATATCGGAGACTACCACTTGCTGTTCATTTCCGAGTGTTAGTGTAGCTAGAGAAAAATTGGAACCAAAGAGCATAATGTACTGTAAAGCAAAAATGTTGCCTCACAGCGCAATTTTTTCATAACATGGACTGCATTGCTGTGAAGTCACACTAAATTTAAACAAAGCAGCACCAGAGGTTTTGGTCAATAACACTGCTTCGTGAGCTCTTCTTTATGGGTTTTTCTTTTTTTAACGCTGCTCTTGTAGCATTTTTCACGGTTATCTCCTCATTCCAGAGGCTGTAGTCGGCGCTTATAGGCTGTGTGAGTTATTGTGGTACGTCAAGATTCAACACTTATGAAAGTGTGTTGCTCGCATGCGTAAAGTGGTGCTGCTTTCATTTTTGCAGGCAGTGGTGAGCTCCGCATACGAGATGTACGGACGCATGCAGAATGACCCCGAGATGGAAAAACACTTCGGCCGCGATTGGGAACACTCGGTGGGTTTGCGGATCAGTACTTGGCTGCTAGCGCTGAGTCTGTGAACTTTCTAGCGTAATGTAGCATTGCAACATTTTTCTGCAGACTTCCTGATAAGTCCATTTACTTGCATACTAGCAGCATCAGCTCTTTCGGTTAGTGGTGGCTATCTCATAACAGTGCAACAAACAATGCATTTGTTACTGTGTATGTATGTGTGTCGCGTTTTCTTAGGTATAATGGACCGTTTTCGTAAATGGGTGCCCCAAGCGCCCTTCATGTGAACTACTACAAGCCACCATGTTTAGGGCCCCGCTGCATAAGACACTGTCTGCGATTGGGGTGGCTACCTACTGCGACTGCCGGTGCACGACGTTTTGCGAGCATGACAGCTAGCCCGTGTGTTGCAAATTGTGCCGCAAATGTATTACTGAGAATGTTTTGGAGGTGCTGTGTTCTGTGATGCCGCAAGTGAGGCTACCACGATTACAACAGAGAGGTATGTGCGGCAGAACGATATAAACAAACACATGTGTTGCATATCTGCACACAGTGCATGTGTCATTGTCAGTGTGGTCGTGGAAGCGCTATGCCATGTAGGCATGCTGCGGATTTGTATGTAAAATGCTTGTCTGCACGATGGATGACGTGGTATCTACCATCGTAAGCGCATTGCAGTGGTTTCTGTTCTCAACGCTGGTGTTTTCAAATTTCAACATTGCCAAATTTGCGAGAAAATTTGAAGTACATTCCTGGCAGCGCAGTTCAGGGCCCACGAAGCATGCGAAAATAAATCAGCAGTCAGTTTATGTAGTGAGTGAAGTCAGGGCATGGTAGCAAGGGCAGCGGTGACACCAAGCCACTGTGGAAGTACAGTGTACTTTGCCGAAGAGAAGGCCGCTGCTGTCAGCCAAGTTGTTGTGATGCCTCGGTGGACCTGACTACACTCAGTTTCACAAGAGTGCAGTGCTGTTGAAGCTATGCATAAAATTCGGTGAGCCAAATGCATAAATCTGTGTGTCTGTTTTCTTAGATTTTCACAGTTGTGAATGCTCTTGCGAGAGGATAGAAAGGTGGGCTAGTTGGTAGTTCATAATCTTTCAGCGAACTGGGAGCGCTGAACAATTATGCCTTGTGAGCCAAGCAGCAGCCTGTGCATGAGGCATTGTGATCGGCTACAAATGAAATACTGAAACAACAAAATGTCAGGCGATATAAGACAGCACATTAAAAGCCGCATAATGTAGTATGTCATCTACATGAAACGAAAAAAGAAAACAGTGGTAAAAAAACAGTGAACTATTTGTTAGCACTGATGCACTTTTTCGAAGCCACGCTGGCATCTACAGTGTTGAACCTGTGGTGTGGCAGAGAGTGCCTGCTCAAAACTTCACTCTGACGCATCCACCTTGTTTCACAGGCCAGCCACAGTTTGTTCATCAGCGATGCTGCTACGGTTACGTAGGTGTAACTTTAAGCTGCCAGCAGATTTTTACACTGAAGAGTGATATTTCTCATCACCAGCTACTGAGGTTCGAGATGGATGCGTTAGCATCCACCCGGCGTGGCAGTCGCATAAAATCTTTCGTCCTACCGGTCGACAGGTCACCTATTACAAGACCGAAGTCAGTTGCACTACCTTTTCAAAGCAAGGCACGATTGCACTTATTTGCAGATTTTGGAAAAGGCGAGAAGCAGCAGTCTGGCACCTTGCACGAACACACTTCACAGATGCACATACAGACAGTCACTTCCCCTTGTCCTAAACATGGCGAATTTAATCCCAGAACTTTTAGCGAAATCGAAACTGACGAAAGTCCACCGTCAATGGCATATTTATGAAAATAGTCTATAGTTCAAGGGCAAACAGATTGAAAACACAATATCTATATATTGCCATGAAACTATACCGCCTCTATTAAATTACCAGAAGCCTTGCAACATTTTTTCAGCATGATCGGAAAACGCTGCTGATCTGTAGTCGAGGCTCTGGAGAACATGCAAGCCAACATTGAAGTATGTACACTATGCCGCCTGGAATTTATGATTAGTTCCAAATGTAAGCTGAAAATTGCTCCCTCTTCTTTCTACAAATGCTATGTACCCAAATGACCACACCATGTATCCAAATTAACGGACATTGGCTGATTTGAGCATCGTTAGCTGCACGGGTTACCGTGGGATGCTGACATGTGCATGCGATCACACTGAAGGTTAGCTGTACTAACAGCATCAAATGAAACCTGAACAGCGGCAAGCCTTCGAGATAGTATAGTGCGCGCCGTCCACTTATTACCATGGACAGGCACGCATATATACGCAGAGCAGCCGAACCGGATGTGCGTACCTGTCAATGATAACTGGACGGTGTGCACTATACCACTATGTACGTTTACCGCTGTTCGGGTTCATTTGATGCCGATAGTACATTCAAAAAAGTGCTTGAGGTCATGACGTGCGCATAATGTAACTTCTTTACCCCTTACCGTCCCTCCTTGCTTAGCTTCCAGCACGCTCGTTGGGACGAGAGATGAGAAAGTAATTACAGCGTGTGACAAATATGTACCTTCCCTTGTACTTGATGGATCCTAAAACTTTTTACAGTGGTAAATTTGTGAGAAATGAAACCATTTGATTGGTTACTTGGAAAAGTGTTGCAGGGCCCCTTTAAGAGCAGGCATGCTGAGGTTCTGTGGGCAGAGGTTTATTTATTCCTTGGTTCTATTTGAGTATGTAATGTTTTATTCTCTCTCTCATGCACAGATTGGTTCCCTGGTGCGCTACGTCCTGAGTGAATCTGCGGAGCGCGGCTGCAGCACTGTGGCTGTGACTGACGAACTAGCCGAGCGTTGGTCTCGTAAGCCACACCCACTGTGGCCTGGCCGTGCGCGGGCACTGCTCGGCGCCTTGCTGGAAAATGGGTGGCATCAGGGCCGAGACTTCTGGCGGCAGAGGCACAACTTTCCTAACACACACGGATATGCGGGATGATGGCGACCATCGGTTGTCTCACTTAACGGATAAAACAGTATGAAATAAAGCCACTTTTTCGAAGCCACGCTGGCATCTACAGTGTTGAACCTGTGGTGTGGCAGAGAGTGCCTGCTCAAAACTTCACTCTGACGCATCCACCTTGTTTCACAGGCCAGCCACAGTTTGTTCATCAGCGATGCTGCTACGGTTACGTAGGTGTAACTTTAAGCTGCCAGCAGATTTTTACACTGAAGAGTGATATTTCTCATCACCAGCTACTGAGGTTCGAGATGGATGCGTTAGCATCCACCCGGCGTGGCAGTCGCATAAAATCTTTCGTCCTACCGGTCGACAGGTCACCTATTACAAGACCGAAGTCAGTTGCACTACCTTTTCAAAGCAAGGCACGATTGCACTTATTTGCAGATTTTGGAAAAGGCGAGAAGCAGCAGTCTGGCACCTTGCACGAACACACTTCACAGATGCACATACAGACAGTCACTTCCCCTTGTCCTAAACATGGCGAATTTAATCCCAGAACTTTTAGCGAAATCGAAACTGACGAAAAGTCCACCGTCAATGGCATATTTATGAAAATAGTCTATAGTTCAAGGGCAAACAGATTGAAAACACAATATCTATATATTGCCATGAAACTATACCGCCTCTATTAAATTACCAGAAGCCTTGCAACATTTTTTCAGCATGATCGGAAAACGCTGCTGATCTGTAGTCGAGGCTCTGGAGAACATGCAAGCCAAACATTGAAGTATGTACACTATGCCGCCTGGAATTTATGATTAGTTCCAAATGTAAGCTGAAAATTGCTCCCTCTTCTTTCTACAAATGCTATGTACCCAAATGACCACACCATGTATCCAAATTAACGGACATTGGCTGATTTGAGCATCGTTAGCTGCACGGGTTACCGTGGGATGCTGACATGTGCATGCGATCACACTGAAGGTTAGCTGTACTAACAGCATCAAATGAAACCTGAACAGCGGCAAGCCTTCGAGATAGTATAGTGCGCGCCGTCCACTTATTACCATGGACAGGCACGCATATATACGCAGAGCAGCCGAACCGGATGTGCGTACCTGTCAATGATAACTGGACGGTGTGCACTATACCACTATGTACGTTTACCGCTGTTCGGGTTTCATTTGATGCCGATAGTACATTCAAAAAAGTGCTTGAGGTCATGACGTGCGCATAATGTAACTTCTTTACCCCTTACCGTCCCTCCTTGCTTAGCTTCCAGCACGCTCGTTGGGACGAGAGATGAGAAAGTAATTACAGCGTGTGACAAATATGTACCTTCCCTTGTACTTGATGGATCCTAAAACTTTTTACGGTGGTAAATTTGTGAGAAATGAAACCATTTGATTGGTTACTTGGAAAAGTGTTGCAGGGCCCCTTTAAGAGCAGGCATGCTGAGGTTCTGTGGGCAGAGGTTTTATTTATTCCTTGGTTCTATTTGAGTATAGTAAATGTTTTATTCTCTCTCTCATGCACAGATTGGTTCCCTGGTGCGCTACGTCCTGAGTGAATCTGCGGAGCGCGGCTGCAGCACTGTGGCTGTGACTGACGAACTAGCCGAGCGTTGGTCTCGTAAGCCACACCCACTGTGGCCTGGCCGTGCGCGGGCACTGCTCGGCGCCTTGCTGGAAAATGGGTGGCATCAGGGCCGAGACTTCTGGCGGCAGAGGCACAACTTTCCTAACACACACGGATATGCGGGATGATGGCGACCATCGGTTGTCTCACTTAACGGATAAAACAGTATGAAATAAAGCCACTCGTTTTGTGCATTGCGGTGTGTTTTCAACTCTTGAACATGCAGTACAATGACCTACGCCACACTTTGGTGTTACATAACTGTTTTAAAGCGAAAGCTGTTCTGAGATCGCAGCAATGACCAACTTTGGTGGCAGTTGCCCACTGCCAGCATTTGTAACAGCCATTATGCACAATGTGAAAAAGCAACTGAGGTCCGAGCAGGGTTTGAAACCAGACAGTCTGCATGGCATTCCAGTGTTGTACTGCAAAACCACGTCGGAACTTGAAGCCCCATTGTCAAAAGACCCTATACAGTTCTGTCGGGAAAGTAATTGTGTAAACATACATAATATTGCGTGGTAGAAGAGCGAAACAACAACCGGGCATCAGACAATGTGAATTGTGTAATGAGTGAGTGATTTAAAGCTTTGCAATAATTAGTAAAGGCTCAGCCATAATTCATCATTGGCACCGTCCACATGCCTTACAGACACATATGTAGTGGGCAACTGGTTTCTCCACAAAATTGTGATTAATGGCTTAGTAGATGCCACGCAACCGCACTTGCAATACTAGTCCCGTGACAGTTCAAAACCTGCTGTAGAAGGGCTACCACTGGAACTTTCGCTGTGACTATGCTGTGTGATCAGCATAGGTCTGGAGTTCTGCACAGATGGGGTTCTGCACAAGGTGTGGGCGGGAGCACATAGCGACTTATAACAGCTCAAAAATGGGGACTCACATGAATAATTGCATCTGCAGAGCGCCAGGTTCCTTCAATGATTATCGTTGTTTTAAAAAGAAAATGTGCAGAAACCACCATGAGATTTTGAAGTACAGTAAGTGCAAGCTGGTTTCCTGAATCCCCTGAATTATGCAATGCAAAGTGCAATACTTCTCCTCTATTTTTCTGCTTAGAAGTAACATTTCCTTCTATGGCAGTTGTCACCTTGCACATTACAACAACTCCACAAGATCAAAACTGCACTTGAGGCTTTAGTCACTTTGTTTGCCCGACTAAGCAGCAGCAGTGGTCATGGTTCATAAGAAGACTGGGACAGTTGCGTGTTTTTTGGTCTTTTCTGCTGAATGTGGTCTAAAAAAATGCCATAGAATCAATCTGTGCTTGCACATTTATGCTGCGTTAACTGACAGTGACTCTCGTTAGCTTGAGCCTGTGGCTTCTGTCCTGGTTGAGCCGGCTGTGTTTCAAAGAGGCACATAAAATGTAAATACAGTCATGTACTTAAGACTGAAGCACAAAAAAGGAGGTCATCAGTTAATTTAAAGTCCCAAGTTTCAATCAGATTCTAGTTTTGACATGTGAAAACCCCATAATTTATTATTTTACCCAGTACCTAGCTGGAGAATGCTAACTTTATATTTGTGAAAAGGTTTTAATGACCTGAATCCAAAAACTTACATAGTACCTACATGAATTTTCAAAGTATGTTAACCCTGCGATGTGTAGGCAATCGCCTATAGTGTAGACCCTCTAGACAGAAATCTTTTGAAACAGAATTTCTGCTTAAATGTTTCAAAACTGCGTCTAGCATAATTTTTCTGTTGTGCTTGCATTCTGTACCCTTGTTCATCTCTTAGTAAGCGGAACTCCTGCTAAATGAACACATTTTCCTGATGCCATCAGGCTTTATTCAACAAGTGTCTGCTGTAGGTGAAGATAGCTTTGCATATGTGAGAAGCTCGGTGAGTGCGGGCAAGATACTTCATTTAGACACTAAAGTTCATTTGTGAAAATGAATGCCGCACCTATCCACATCAACACTAGTGAGGTGTCGGCTACAGTGTCGATTTTTGTGACCACGCACTGGTGTGGCTAGTTATAATGTCAGGCACTGAAATATCCAAAACGGCAACTTGTGCACCACCAACTGAGAGCGGCTGTGTAAGATTCACAATATCTTGCACGAGCAGGTGACGAGAAGCACTTTACATGTTGCGGCGTGAGGGTACAGTAGGAACCGAGACTAGCTTTTAAAAAATTACACCATCTTTCACTAAAGTAAACCATGTGAGAATGCGAAGCAGCACTGGCATTCACTTGTGTTTACATTTGTTGTTTCCATTTTTGTTCCTGTGTACGTTTCATGTGTGTGGAGCTGTGTACATGTTGTGTACCGCTTATGTTACCCCCAACTCCTCCCATTTGTGTACCCCAAAGTGAACACCCAGGGCTGTTAGGAAAGTGCAATGGTGCGAACGCGCACAGCATTATACACAGGCACACAGCTGTGGCAGAAAGATAAACGGGAGAGTAGAAAGGAAGTGGAGGCAGAGCTCTGCCACTACTTCCCCACTCCTCGCGTAAGCACGAGGAGAGGGCTGTTGGCGAACGTCGGCTGTGCCAGTTTGCATGTGCCAACTCTTCTCCTTGTCCTTGTGCGAGTGCGAGGAGGAGAGAGTTGGCGCATGTGCAGTAAGGGTGGTCACGCCGCACTACGGAATGAGCTCTGCCATAAGCTACTTTGCATTTAAAACACACAGCAATTAACTTTTCAAAGTGCAGTCAAGCTTTCCTGTACATTTTCTAGGCTTGGAGGGTTCGGCCTTTCACATGATGCAAAAAACGACCAGTGAAAATCTTGTCAGTACCCCTTTAATGTTACAGCATCCATACACTATATACAAAGCGACAATAAGGCTAAGCAGCGATTCAGAGTGGTGCTGGTGCAGTTTCTGTGGAAGCACCCTTCTTGGGCGGCCGCACACCAAGCACCTTGATGTAGTTTGCCGGCACCAGTCCTACTTGGCGACCATCGTCCAAGCTGGCCAGGAGCCAACCCCGCACTCTAGGCTGCAGCTCTGTGGTGAGTAGGAAACAAACAGTACAGTCAAAACCTTTTCACCAAACTCTTGAACTCCTCTTGAGTGACAACCGTTCAAAAACCTTTGGAGTCACAACACTTGAACAGTCACTACACTTAAACTTTTCAAGAGTCTGCAGCCTTCAACTCCTTTAGAGTCAGTAACTTTGAACAGCTCTAGAGTCACTACCTTATCCCACAGACATGCTCTATGCATTCATAAGAATGCATCTACTCTTGAAGAGATATCCTCGCCACTTAAGCTATACAGAAAAGACACAGCACAAAAGAGAACACCCACAATTGAAGTATCTTGTTGAGACCAGTATCTTGAAGAGAAGCTAAACTAGCGTGGCACAGGTGTCGTTACACTAGTGTGGGAAATACTCCATGATAACAAAGCGAAAGCTTTGTAGGTAAAGCATGCCTGAAATGTTCGGGAACCTTAGAGAAAAGAAATTGTGCTAGAGGGGCATCTACGGAAGGGTGTTTCAGCTTCGTTGAAACATGGAGAGGGACGAAGCAAGCTGTGTACACTGGTGGTTCTCTTTGCAGATATACTTCAAGAAGTGGCACTTCAAACAGACGGCTTTATGGTAAATATGCACGCTTGTTTATAGCTTTAGATAATAAACTTGAGTGCCTAAGTAAATTTCATCAAAGATTCTTACACCGCTGCTAAGCCAATCATTATGTTTTCAGCAGTAACGGCGAACCTTCCACTCATAATATGCACAGTACAGACCGGTCGCGAGTAGCAGGACTTGTCCAATTTTTTTTAGTGCATACTCACTTATGATGGACCGTGATGACGACATGATATACCGACAAGCAGACACACTAAGGTACTTCGCCCCTAAAAGCTTTCTTGACCGCTGGCAAGGAGACAACAAAAGCTATCTTGCGACAGCACAAGAGCATGCTGGATGTCAATTTGAGCTTATATGTCTGGTTTTCTCTTTGCATAAGGCAAAATATTAAATGCCGATTAAGTATTTGTCCAGAGAAACCAAAAACATAGCCTGAACTTAGCCAGATTAAAAGCAGTAACACATGTACAGATGCTCCGGTCCTGTAGCTTTCCTTTTAGCACCATGGAATGATGTCCACAAGTATACATATAATTCAAATAAATGTCACACATCCGCTTAACACAGTACGTACCTTTTGGCGCAAGGCGCAGCTCTTGGCCGGCCTTCATTGCTATCTCGCTCGGTGCCTCGGGCTGGAAATCGTACAGTGCAACAGCTACGTGGTGTTCTTCCTCACCAGAGGCCCACAGTACCTCTGCAATGCACAACAGGGATGACACCTGCCAACTGCGCAGCACTCATGCATTGAAACATGAAAATTGAGGACTACGTTATGCAAATAGTTTCGTTTCTGGCGCCTACAGTTCATGTCATATGGTAGGTGTAATTTTGACAAAGAATTACATCCCAGACAGCATTACCTATCGTAAAATGCCGAGCAAGAACCCCCCACCCGAAGAAGCGCCCCTTCCCTTTTTCGGGAGATCTGAAATTCATGCCAATGACTGAGCAAGCCTCCCCCCTACCCCTTCGTCCCTGCAGCCAGCCACTATTTTTCGAGACAAGCATTGCTTCTGTATAAAGAACTACGAACCTGAGTACACTGAATGCATATCTAATGTTGTTTATGAAATTCTATTACCATGTAAAGAAATGAAGCATTTCATTAAAATTTTAAAAATTCTTTGCAGCTCTCTTGCCGCCATCTTGAACTTTGGTCATGGACTGAGCAAGCGCCCTCCCTTCAAATCTGGTCGGATTATCTTTCACTGTAGGGGAGTGCTTGCTCAGCATTTTAAGGTGTACGCGTCAGATTTTAGCAATATGACGCAGTTATCACATGGAATTTCTCATATAGCAATCCTAATGCTGAAAAAAAAAAGTGTTTCAATCTGCAGGTACTGTAACTTACTGATTGCCACAGTGCACCTCCCGGCTGTCATGGCAACAAGGAAGCATAGCCAAGATAACAGGGAGATTTAGAATAGCGTTAGCAGGCAATGCGGGCACCTTGGAAGTTTTAGAACAGCATTTGCCCCCCCCCCCCCCCCTAGAAAAAAATCTGGTGACTTTACCCTCCCCCCCCCCCCCCCCCGCCCGCAAACCCAAATGCATGAAAGCTACACCATAGCCTCGACACCAGCGGTTTTCGGGCCTTGCGGGCCGCACAATATTTCGGATTTTCTGCGGGCAGATTGCAAGCGTGAGCTGCGGCTTGCGTTGCGATGCATGCGCACTGGCAGCGACCCCACCGCAAGGGCTTGGGTGCGCTATTCTAAAACTCCCTAACGTTCACAGTGAAACTGATGGGCCTATTTGTGATTTTGCAAGTCACTGGCACTTCTCAAGCACTTCTTGAAAAGCTGGCACCCTTATTGTACATTCCATTTGCAATTATATTTTATTTATTCATTTATTTATTCAAAATACCTTACAGACCCAACAGGGCATTGTGTAAGGGGAGCATAAAAGGAATAGATACACGAATTTGCACAATTTGTATACAAACAATAACATTCACAAATATTCACGAGTACTATTAGAAAAAGTGAAGAGTGCAGACACTGATGATTCATAGGGATCAAGAAACACAACATTACAATTAGGGGCTGGCCCTGTGAAGCCCCTGAGTGATCATATAATGACCTTGCAATTAGAGTCTGTCGTGTCATGCATTGTCGCCCGTATAGCCAGTACCACATTTTCTCGAACATAACCACCCATGCATACAACTTGCACCCCCAACTTAAACTCTACAAAAAGAAAAAAAAAAGATACATTTAGTTTTTGCATATAACTCAAATTCTCACTTTTCAAGTACATTTTTGTTTTTTAGTATGGGTTATATGTGCGAAAATACAATAACATTTAGCTCGCATTTTCACTGAAAATTTGAGTACGGATAGACATTTACCAACTAATTTGAAAGAGTATTATTGTAGGGTCTTTTTAATTGAATTATTGAAAATGTGATAGCAAAACTGAAGCAATAAAGACACAGAACTAGAGGCAAGTAGGCAGGCAACTTTACAAGAGCAATGATTTAATGCAGGAAGACCTCATTATTTAAAACTCTATTATTTCAAAATCTCGCTTAATTCGAAATATTTCCACGGTCCCGTATTTTGCTATGCAAGTTTTAGTGGATAATTTGAAGCGGCGGCCGGCACCAGCCCGGTTAATTCGAAAACTTTGGGTACCATGTGCCAGTTGCAGATCCTGATTTCGCGGCGAATCTGCGGAAACGACCACAATTAATTGCCACAAGGCAATGCAAAGTATCGATACTAATGAGTGGCAGCTGATGCACCTCAGTCTCGCTACTCCCAACGCAAAAAAAAAAAAGAAAAAAGAAAAACAACAGTCTCGTGGTCAACCAAAACGTGTTCGCGGAAAACGAGACGTGCTTCACTGCACCACAGCAGTGACGCGTAGGCAGCATATTGCATGTTTCTCGCAACGTCAGCGGGTCATGGTTTACTCATTCTTTCTGGGATTGTAAAGAAATTAATAAAAGACAGTTTGGTGGAATTGGCGATGTATGCGAACTTCTGATGATTGCCGGTTGCTCCAACAACTCGTTTCTTTGCACTACTGGCGGAGTTCTTGCCAGCAAAACCTATTTCGAAAACTAAATTCGAAAGTTTCAAAGATGACTCTTTCAGCCAAAACACATCGCGAGTTTTGTCATACTAGCCATTATTAAATTCCTAATTATGCCAGAAAGTATGTGCTAATGGTCGCATCATGACGTGCTGACGCAGAGAGAAGCAGGCGACATGCTGCCCGCGTGTCGCTACTGTGTTGCCGTGAAGATGACTTGTTTTCTGCAGGCGCACAATTCAATTGATCACGACAGCATTTTTTTTTTTTCCCACATGGAAGCGCGACAGCAAGATCGAAAAATCATTTACGACGCATCCCATCGCCTTGTACTCTTCAGACCTGGTGACGAGGTGCTCCTGTTCACACCTATTCGTACACCTGGTCTGTGCGACAAGTTTCAGCCACACTTCATTGGGCCTTACATAGTTATCGAGCAGACTTCGCCCGTCAATTATCGTGTGACCCCACTCATCCTCCCAACAGACCGCCACCACCGCACCATAGAGATCGTGCACGTGTCTCGCATGAAACCCTTCAGGCGACGTTCTCTGCCTTATTGACTTGCTACGACCAGGTTGGCCACTTCGATGTGGGGGGAATTAGTGTGGGCATTCATTATGCACTTCTTATATATGCATTATCATCATCATCATCATCGTCCCTGACCTCATCTTCTTAATCATAATCGGGTGTGTGCGCGCTCAGTCTCAGACTGCCCATTCGCTGCTGAGCCCTTGGCTGAATAAAAGCTGTCTCAACCCGGACGTCATAATATATATATATATATATATATATATATATATATATATATATATATATATATATATATATATATATATATATATATATATATATATATATATACAACAGCGAAATGGCGCCGATGATGAAAAGGAACGGGCGAAGACTGATGATGGTTATTGACAGATGAGGATGACGTCCAATGAATTCTTACACTAATTTCCTCGTCGACGGAAGCAGCCAGCCTGGCCGCGAATTACGCTGGGGAACGCATACGATAGGGCTTAAGACGGGAAACGTGAACAATCTCTGTCCCGCAGCAGCGTTGGTCAGTGGGGACATGAACAGGTGCGACAAGGTAGTTCACCGGTGAGGTCTGTTCGATAACTTTGTAGGGGCCAAGATAGCGTGACTCAAGCTTCTCGCATAAGCCAGGCGTTCTCGCAGGAGTCCACAGAAGTACATCGTCGCCAGGGCGGTAGAGAACGACGCGGTGAGTGGCATCGTAACGATGTTTGCGATCTTCTTGGCTAGCTTCGGTGTTTACACGGGCAAGACGACGGCATCGAGCAACACGGGACAGAAACTGGTCGCAAACGAATGGTGAAGAGTTGACGGGGCCAGAAAAGAATGAAACGTCGAGTGGTGATGTCGGTTGGCGTCCGTATACTAGGAAGAATGGAGAATAGCCTGTGGTTCGTTGAACTGACGTATTATATGCATACGTGACAAAGGGAAGTATGGCATCCCAATTGCGATGGTCCGGTCGGATATACATGGACAGCATGTCACACAGCGTGCGATGAAATCTTTCCGTTAAGCCATTGGTTTGCGGGTGATAGCTAGATGTTGTTTTATGAACTGTTTTTGATGCTTGAAGAACTTCACTGAGCGTGCTTGAAAGAAATGCCTTGCCCCGGTCGCTCAAAAGAACACGAGGGGCTCCGTGACGTAGGTAAATAGAATGCAAGAAGTTGCTACTTCCGAAGCAGTTCCTGAAGTGATCGAGGCCGTCTCAGCGTACCGGGTCAAGTGATCAACCGCGGTGACGATCCATCTCTTGCCGTCTGATGTAGTTGGGAGGGGCCCGAAGAGGTCAATTCCGACGACAGAGAACGGCTCTGATGGACAAGGAAGTGGTTGTAGGGTCCCGACTGGAGCAGTAGTGGGCCGCTTGCGGTGCTGGCAAAGTGCGCACGAGGCAATATATTTAGCTACCGTCGTGTAAAGACCTGGCCAGAAGAATCTACTGCGGATGCGCTCGTATGTTTTGTAGTAACCCAAGTGTCCTGACGTCGGGTCGTCGTGGGAAGCGCGCAGAACTTCAGTGCGTAGTGCGCGTGGTACGACGGGAACCCATCAGTGGCCTTCCGGGTGGAAAATGTATCGATGTAGCACACTGTCCTCCAACTTGAATAGTCGAAGTTGTTTCCGGAGTCTGGCATTTGGGGAAGATGAAGCGCCGGTAAGCCGACCGATGATGTCAGTGCAATAAGAATCGGCTCGCTGGTGAGTGGTAAGTACTGACGGACGGGTGGATGAAGGTAGAGAAGAAATCGATGATATCGACGAGGCGTCCTCTGTATAGCCAATTTGACAAGGGGATGTGACGTGCGCCGAAGACTGCGGCAAAGGGCATCGTGACAAAGCGTCGGCATCTTGGTGTTGTCTTCCAGTCTTGTAGATGACGTCGAAGTCATACGATTGTAACCGGAGAATCCAGCGGCCAAGTCGTCCCGACAAATTTTTGATTGTGGTCATCCAGCAAAGAGCATGGTGGTCTGTCACAACAGTAAAATGTCGACCATGTAGATACGGACGAAATTTTTGGATGGACCAGACAACAGCCAAGCACTCTTGTTCGGTTATCGAGTACCTCTTCTCTGCAGAGGTCAGAGTGCGGCTTGCATACGCGACAACTTTCTCGCGAAAGGCATGGTCGCGCTGGAGGAGTACGGCGCCGATTCCTTGTCCACTAGCGTCAGTGTGTAATATCGTAGGTGCCTTGTCATCGAAATAACAAAGCACCGGTGGGGATGTGAGTGCCTGCTTGAGCTCTTGAAATGAGGCTTCGCATTGATCATTCCAATCGAAGGAACCGGTACTAGCAAGGAGCTTGTGGAGAGGAGCGGCAATAGTGGCAAAGTTGCGAATGAAGCGGCGAAAGTACGATGCGAGTCCAAGGAAACTGCGTAGTTCTTTGGAACGAAAGGGTCGTGGAAAGTTCAGGACTGCGGAAATTTTGTCCGGATCGGGCTGGATGCCATCTTTACTAACGAGATGTCCTAGAACTCTTATAGCTGTGTTGCCGAAATGGCACTTCTTTGTGTTTAATTGAAGTCCAGCATTAAAGAGACATGTGAGCACTTGATCTAGGCGTTGCAGATGATCAGCAAAAGTGGAAGAAAACACGACAATATCATCGAGGTAGCATAGACAAGTTTTCCACTTGAGGCCACGAAGAACAGTGTCGATCATCCTTTCAAATGTGGCGGGAGCATTACATAGGCCGAATGGCATTACGTTAAACTCATAAAGACCGTCCAACGTAGAAAAGGCGGTCTTTTCTTTGTCTGCTTCGTTCATTGGTATTTGCCAATACCCGGATCGAAGGTCAAGGGTGGAGAAGTATTGGGCGCCTTGCAATGAGTCAAGTGCATCATCTATACGGGGCATCGGATATACATCCTTTCGGGTAATCTTGTTGAGCGCGCGGTAATCAACACAAAAACGTACCGATCCATCCTTCTTTTGCACCAAGACAACGGGTGATGACCAAGAACTGGTAGAGGGTCGTATGATGTTTCTTTTTAGCATATCGGTCACATTCTCATCAATGATTTTGCGCTCGGCCAAGGAGACTCGGTAGGGACGACGGCGTACAACAGTCTGACCTCCAGTGTCGATGCGATGATGTGCAACTGTGGTCTGTCCTAGTGCCGAAGCCTTGGCGTCAAAGGAGGCCTGGTGTTTTGTTAGCAAATTTAGCAACGCCTCACGTTGAGAAGCCGAAAGGTCAGAGGTCAGGATTTATACCGGGAGCAAAGGAGGAGGAAGTAACAGACCGGGCCTGTTGTGGCTGAGCTGTCAAGGCGTCAAGAGAGACCAAAGATACTGGTTTGGTATCCACATAACACGACAATGCAGAACCTTGAGGTAGGAGGACAGGCTCCGGGGTAGGGTTCAGGCCAAGGATTATTGCAGCACTGTCTTTGAACCGCACCAGGCTGGAGGGGACTACAACGCCGCGAGCTAGACAGTGGCTGGAAGGGGTGATAAGGACGTCACCATTGGCAATATTCGGAGTAGTGAAAAAACGCAATGGTTTCTCGTCGACACGTTCGCTCAAGTGATCGGTCTCAGTCATCTCGACTACACGTTGACGGCAAGAAATTAATTAAAGGAGGTAAACTGTAGGCTTGCAGTTCCTCACGAATTATGGTTCGAATGATGGATCGGAGCTCCATACTGTTTGCCAGGGGGTTCTCAGAGAAGTCGGGTCGCAGGCGGATTGACTGCAAGGTATCAAGCCGCTGGCATACAGAGACGACGTCGGAAACCGTCGAAGGGTTGTGCGCGGCGAGGGCGTTGAAAGCGGTAGGTCCGATACCCTTCAAAAGGTGCCGGACACGATCACCTTCTGGCATGGTGTCGTCGACACGGCGGCAAAGTGCAAGCACATCCTCAATATAGGAAGTGTAGGACTCACCGCAATGTTGAACACGTTCTGCCAATTTCTTCCGAGCAACTTCTGAACGGACGGTCGGTGTGCCGAAAATGTGTCGGAGCTGGTCTTTGAAGGAAGACCAATCGCGGAAGTCGCTCTCATGATTTAGGAACCACGTCTTGGCAACCTGAGAGACGTAAAACTGGACGCATGCTAATTTCGATGCCTTGTTCCAGTTGTTGTAGACACCTACGCGGTCATAGTTGTTGAGCCAGTCTTCGACATCTTCGCCAGGCAGACCGGAGAAGATTGGAGGCTCCCGAGGGGGGTTGTTGACCGGGCTAGGGTTGGCGGTGGGTGGTTGAGCCGGCGGGTGGTTCGGTTGGGCTTGCTCTTGCGCCATGGTGCTCTGCTGGCGTAAGCGACGTCCCGAACGGAGCTCCAGGAGGTGGCTTTGGATGGAGAGAGGTCGACGAGATCGGGAAGCACCTCCACCACTTGAAATACCACGGGTTCAGCTGACGCTTTATTCAAGCAACAGCGAAATGGCGCCGATGATGAAGAGGAACGGGCGAAAACCGATGATGGTTATTGACAAATGAGGATGACGTCCAATGAATTCTTACAATATATATATATATATATATATATATATATATATATATATATATATATCTGTCTCTCTCTCTCTCTTTCTCTGTGTGTGTGTGTGTGTGTGTGTGCGTGTGTGTGACAGATATTGTCTCTTACCCCACCATGCCTCCCTCATGCGTACGCCTGTGCTCCCTTCATCACGAGTGTACTCACTCCTATGAGCAGCTGCACTGAAGATCCTCCACAAGAGCCAGGGTGCACCTACAACAAAGCCAAAGAAAGCCACAATGGGCCAAGAGGAGCCACCCGGTCGAGGTGGGCCTGTGGAGGGTACCGCTGGGCCTGCCCTCGCTGCTTGACTCCAGGCAGCCTCGGTCATGCCATTGCGGCCTGCAAAGATGCGAATCGGGTAGGTCAAGAGGATACTAAAGGAAAGAACGATTTTCCTCATCTGAGTAAATTGTCTTTCACAATTCCGAAATCCGCCTGCTTGCTGCGAGAAAACGCTTGGTAAGCGAGAAAATGTGCAAAAAAAAAAATAAGAAAGGCGACCCCACCTTGAAATTCTCGCACCAGCCGCCGTGATGTCATACATTTTGACAGCATCTCTTAGGGCCTATGTACTAGTTCTTAATTCGTAAAAATTAAGAACACTGTCCTCTGAGGTGGCCAGAGACTCAACATACCCAGCTTCAGGAAATTTCATGGAGTCAATGTCACCAATATATACGTAAAACAACAAAAAATACATGACATCACTTACAGAGATTGCAGTGCGAAATTTAAAAGTAATGTTCCGAGTTTGATTATTAAACATATGATGGTGAAATTAGCATTACATTTATCATAGTACAATTTATTTTCCAAACTTTGGTGCCCCTTTGTTTCAGATATGTGCACCATTTACTACTGTGTTAACTGTAAACTGCAGTACCGGCAAAAATCTGTCCTCTTCTTTGGTCACTAATGTCAGAGCAGCTGGGGACATAGTGACGCGTGCCACATGTCACTGAATTTCCCTCCTGTGTAATATGTCTATTTAGAAAAAGCTTGGTCGAAAGTCGGTGCTTGTCACTGTTTGTCTTGATACCTGTTTATTATTCATGCTATGACCACGCAGCACTATGGAGTACCAACTAAGCCAGCTAGACCAACTAGACCACTATGCTTCTCTGTCAAGACAAACTTTGCTTCATCTCATGATCAGCGCAGAGTATTTGCTATGCATTGTTTCTGTTACTTAGATCAGCTGAGTACAGCTACAAGGCGGGCATGTTGATACTTGGTGCTTGCTCAGTGTCGTGTATCCTGTATTTTTCAATTCTGTGCTGTGTCTGTGATCAGTTAGTGCACTTTTTCAATATAAAGATAAGATGATTAGATCATTGTTTGTTTTGGCACTTCTAAGCTTGATGCAACAGGAAACTGCATACTTGTTATGATTTCTGCCTACCAGATGGCACCGCCACAATTCGCACATTCAGCATGCAACACATTTTTCACTGGCAATAAGAAAATATACGATAGATGTCGGGTAAGAATGTAAACGTCACAGCCTGTCAGAAAATTAGATTCCCTCTCTCTTTTTCACAGCTGTGCAAGCGAAGTTATTCGAATTGCATTAAAAAGTAGCCAACACTTATTTGCGTTACATTGTTGTATGTGGACTTCCCCAGTGAGCGTAACACATACTGGGTCGATCCACTTGCCTCGCAACATGTACCACGCCCGTAGAAAGAGCCATCGAAGGGAGCGGACCAGGGCAAGTGCTGACAATGTTTGTGCCAAGTGCAGCTTCAGTCGACCAAACTGATCCGCGACGCCGACCACCGCGCGGAACGAGCTGTAAAGGGCCTGGTACGTCGACTCCAGCAGCATGCTCACGGAGGCAAATGCCTGCCAAGAATTTTTAAAAACACGAGAATGCTTCATCATCTCATCTATCCAAAGCTCTAAAGCATCCAAGAATATTTCTGAGCTTTGTCAGTTTGTTTTCCTACTCTGACACTGCTCTGACACTACAGCCCAGTAAAAACACCAAAGCCTAGTGCATTCAATACAAGCACAAAGACGCAGAACAGCTTCTAGCAGCCCAATGTAGATGAAGCCTAATCTATCCTATCCTAGCCTAACTTGAAGCATAATACACCTGCCAACAATATTTAGTGTAATAAATTAGGCGTTATATCTTCATTAAAATGCACAAGGTTATTAGGCTTAAGAAGATATCGAAGCAGAGCCTCAGAAATCCTCAGCCAGCAACTAGGTGTGAAGCGGCCTTGCATTAGTTATTACATGGCAAACACATTTAGGTCCTACTCTACATATACCATTTCACAAGAGCGCACGAGGGCAGAAGTGTCGCACAAGTCATCACATGCTTTCACAAAGCAATACAATTAACCCGTCTATATCAGGTTAAGGTACGCAGAACTGGTCACGTCTCACCTGGACCACTGCCTCGACCGAGTGAAATGCGCCTCGGGTGCTTTCATCAGCCAACTGTTGCAAAGGACCGGCACCATAGGAACCACCTGCTCCATACATTCCACCCATACCATACAGGCCGCTGGTCCCATAGAGCCCACCAGTCCCGTATAAGCCGCTACCGTAACCGTATGCACCGGTTCCATATGTGCCAGCTCCATATCCATATCGGGAGTAATATCTGCACGAACAAAACAAAAATGCTGGTCAGAGGCCTCAAACCTAAAGCATTAAAACAAAGGTCATGAGGCAGTTATGAAGCTAGAGAGCTAGGGCGATAATTTGGACTGCCTGCAATTCTCTGCAAGGCACCTGATGCCATGCAAGCATAATATATTTAGGGCAATAATTTGGACTGCCTGCGATTCTCTGCAAGGCACCTGATGCCATGCAAGCATAATATATTAATTATAATTGCAGGGTGGGGTTTCGCACACCAGAACTACGATATGGTGGGGGACTGACAATGGGGGACTGTGGATTAACTTCAACTACCTGGAGTTCTTTAATGTTCACTTAAATTTAGGCACGTGGGTGTCCTTTGTATGTGGCTGCCAAAAATGCACGCACATTCTGAACTTATCAGTGTGCAAGCCTAAGACAGGGGCCGAACTATAAGAGGCTTTGATAAGATCCAACAATTGAGCAAATGAAATTCTCCATCTCTAAAGGCACATGAAAAATAAACAAAAGTGCAGCTGTATTATAGTAAATTTAACGGCCGCATATAATTTAAGACCAATAAATTAACTACTTCACAAATGACAAATGAGTAGCATTCAGAACAACTACAGAAAATTTATTTCTACGCTATTTTGCTTTAGCAATCACGTAACCACATCCATGACTTTTGGAGAAAAATTAATGAGCCCAAAGTTGCAGAAAAAAGTGAGTGACCGAAAAACCACACCAAAAGAAATGCTGCCACCCAAAACTCACGGGGAAATGGCTGATCCATAGCCATAACCATATCCAGAGATTGGCTGTTGGCTCGGCCTTGGAGGTACAGCTGGAGGCTGGTGATTTGCGTGGGGCTGGCCCACGGGTCCATTTGGCAGCCCACTGCTACTCGCAAGGTTGTCATCCCTGCAACAAGTACAGGCAGCCCGCTTTAATGTGCTACTTTTCCGAATAAAATTAATTGTCTTGCAGATATCAGCAAATGCTTAGGATTATGGTTTTGATAAAAAAACAGCACAATTATTTCCTTGAACATTGTTCTGTCTTCATATTTGCCTATACTGCATTTTTTTTATCTTTACTGCATAAATAAAATGTCCTGGCACCATTTGTAAGCGTAGTTTATTTTCTTTCAAGCATACTTTATGCACGCTTGCAAGCAAGCTCGTTGACTTTGCTTTCAGTACTATGAGCACTCATCTATGTATTCCTAATATTCTACAAGTGTGGTATCGTGTATTTGGACATATGCATAGCGATTGCTTCATCATTATATGCTTATATTATTTTATATATGTAATCCTTTTATCCCTCTTTCTGATAGCTTATTTACAAAGCGTGTATGATGACCTGTGTACTACATTGTATTTAGAGCAAAGGCATTTATCAGGTATTCTTGCTTTTGCTCTATTTTCTGTTCACTACACAGAAAACAAAAAATAAGCAAGAAAGAAAGCACTCCACTCCACTTTTTTTTTCTTCTAGTAATTTTAACAACGAAATGTAGCACAAATGAGCCCACTTCTGAACAGAGAACAGTGCGCTCACCAAGCCAAGGAGAACCAACATGGTTTAGCTGCCAATAAGAGGCCAACTATAACAAACTTTTAGACTATATAAAAGGCCTCATAAATATATAACCCGAATAAAAGGACTACATAAAAAAGGATTCATAAGGACTATATAAGAGGCCCTGCCTTCAAAGCAATAATCTTACGCTTTGAATACAAGTGTCTGTGTCACTAAAAGCTTGCAAGTAGGCATTCTTAATATCAAAATTAAAAGAAGCAATTTTATTATTATTAAGTAGAAGTAACATAACCCAGATTACATACTTTTTTGCATGGCCTCCAAGATGGGGTAAGACCCTCACCATGTTGAATCTCAAGAAGGAATGGGACGTGTCCTACGTAATATTGGCTAACCACCAGCTGCATGTTTCTGCTTGAGCCTCATGCTGAAGGCAAGAAAATTGGATAGTTGATGCATTTATAGATTTGCCACAATTCGTTTATTAGTCTACAAAGCTTTCTTATAAACAACTTACCAGAAATGAACGGCATGTTGGCCTTTAGTTCTAAAAGGGCAGGTTGCAGGCATTCAGGAACTAGTCTAGGTGAACAGAATTATTGAACGGACCTACTGCTGGTATTGCCTGGCAACACAATGACAGCAATGGAGTGAGAAAGCCATTCATCTTTACAACCATTGTGCATGTCTTAAGGCTAGTTGTCACTGTCAAACAATAAGCCTTGATTCATCTTAAGGGTGTCAGAGGTGGACAAAGAAAGCAGGTGTGCTGTGCCTCACTTTTACCTGGGGTCAATCTTCAGGCGATGTGTTCAACAGTATGAACTGTTACCAACCTGCCTGGTCTGTATTGGGTTTTTATTTCCTTGATTCTCCCATGAACTGTCTCTGCAGCAAGGCACCACCTCAGACCGTCTTGTAATACATATGAACTCATCCAAGAGGCTGATTGATTTTTGATTTGTGGGGTTTAACGTCCCAAAACCACCATATGATTATGAGAGACGCCGTAGTGGAGGGCTCCGGAAATTTCGACCACCTGGGGTTCTTTAACGTGCACCCAAATCTGAGCACACGGGCCTACAACATTTCCGCCTCCATCAGAAATGCAGCCGCCGCAGCCGGGATTCAATCCCGCAATTAGCGGGTCAGCAGCCGAGTACGTTAGCCACTAGACCACCACGGCGTGGCTCATTCAAGAGGCATTTTTCAAAAACACCAAATGTAGTTGCGTTGCAAACTGAACACAGTAGCTTTTCATTGACATGACATTTGTTCCTCTGACATTGCCTAGCTCTCCACTAGTGTATTTAATGCTTGTATGGTGGAGTTGTGTTAGCCTATAACGATGAGCTGAGAAATGTTCCACCCAAAGTGTTAGCACAGAGTTCCACCGCTGATTCCTTTCAAATAAAGACAGGCATGACCTGCACGCGAGTGGAACAGCACAGCAGGCACATGCATCACTGGTGTGGTAAAATTAGCGCTCACAGTATGATGAAAGCTCTTTTAGCTAAATAGCGGCAACTTCTGTGTGACTCCAAGCATGGTGCTGTGAACATATCCACAGCCCTCGCTTCAGCTACTTAAACCCAAATTCCATTAACTGCAGCATGTGAAGTGAGACCACACCTTCGTGCACATTTTCTCTGTCAGTGCATGCTGTCCACTGTAGACAGGTATGCAGTGGTACACCATAGTAAACATCAAAATGAAGAAAAACAATTAAAATACTGCAGCTTAAAATGCATGTAATGTGGAACTCCTGAAAAGGTCATTGTAAATATAAATGGAAAGTTCCCTTGCAAAGGGAGTCAGGAACTTAGATGTCTTCGTGTTTGCTATCGGATGTCTGTGTGTCATAGTGCAGTAAATTCGGTTGTCTCCCCTTGCTTGCAATGGTGCTTTGATGGCATGCATATGGCTCGAGTGACTCCATGGGTGCTCTCAAAATTCGCTGTTCACATCAGAATTTAGGGAGTTCACTCATGCAGTGAACAATATTCAACCTTCGTAAAAATCTCAAAAAGTTATGAAATTCTAATTTGTCTAACTCTTACCCTGCTTACCTTGACACTGAAGATATGAAAAATGCAGTTAATTAAAAGTTTCCTCTGCCGTTCATTTCAGCAATGGGGCATTTTAGACAGCACCATTCAATTCAAGAGGCATAAAGAGTTCAAGGCCTGTCAAAATTTGCCTGAATCCTCCTTAGTAGCAGTAACAACTCTACACAGGTTTACAGATGCTAAGAAGCTGTGCAGCAGATAGCGCGCTATTTGTGCATAATCACTCCATAAACTTTTTGCTCATGCGCATCTGCTACATCTGTATCGTGCACCATGTGTCGTTACGCTTCCGTACTCTAGCACAGGGCACATTTGAACAGCTGCAATTCAGATGTTCATGCTGGTGAAACAGATGTTGCTTCACATTAAGGGGGGATGGAGGGTAGAATCAACTGAAAATGCATTTTTCAGTTTTCATAGCGCGGTATTCCAGCATTACTGACAAGTGCTTCCACAAAGTGACAAGTTCTTACGTGCAATGGAAAGCATTTGAGAATGGCCCCCAATGTGGCTGATACCACAATCGCACCGTAGAAACTCGAACGTTAGAAGGTATTTTCTCATAACAAAACTTTCAGAAAAGCAACATTTTCTATGCAACCACTGCAGCTATAAAGTACAAATTTTTGTGACTTTTTTCTGAATAGCATACACCCATTCGGAAGCAAAATAATAATGTTGCCACCAAAATTCCACTTTTGCAAAAGTTTTTCTTTAAGAAAAAAGCCCTAATATTCTAGTCATCAAATGTGTCAATTTTTAATTTGAGAATGGTCGTGCCTACAATTTTGGTTCAGAAGAACACCCTTCTTACATTTTACATAAAGAATCTTCTTCGCAAATGTTCCTTCAAAAAATTAAAATATTAAAATGATATATTTTTATTAATTTTAGAATGCCTTTGTATTTTCTTGCCAAACACACACGACACCAAGTAAAATCTAATTCAATCTACTAGCAAAAGTTTGCGGGGTATGCTTTAAAAATAACTGAGTAGTAATTGCACAACTGTATTTGCTGTCCATTCCCCTTGAAATGACCTGCACCTGTCAAAGCATCAGTGCTGCTGTTTTGTTCTTGTATTCTTTTGCACTTGGGAAGATAAATGAAATGGAACTAGAAAAATAAAAACTGCCCACATGTTTGTCAGTATGGACGCAGCAATATTTTATGGTTTGCAATGCTTTTAAAGGCAGGCTGCCTCATGTGACATATAAAAATGGTTATTTATTGAACAACAATACGACGTGTTTAAGTCACCACTGCATTCACTGACTGAACCAACAATGCAGTCCCAAGCTTTTATACCTATGCATGCTCTATTTTATGCTTAAAGCTATAATTGCTTGCCTTGTGCTGTTTTGAAGCCTGAACACATCAGAAGCTGACCCTGCATGCAATGCATCTCTCATCATTGTGTCATAATGTAGTGCATTACAACTTTGTCCCACCTTTTAAAAGAGGGTGCCTGCGCAACATCTATCCTTTAATATTCGCTTAAAGTGTTGTGTTATACCCAAGTTACAGAGCTTGAGCTCAACAACTTAACTTCTTTGTCCTTGTCGCAAAATAGTATACCATAATATGGGCAACCTGAAGGGCAAAGCTTTGGCTGTTCTCTTCGAACAAGCTCTGTCAAATGTTGCAAGATGATCCCAAACTTGGTTCATTGATTACTTCGCTACAGAGAGTAATATTCAGAGGGGATAGAGGAAAAACAATACGGGCCAGTACCTAGCACACAACTACACTTGGTCGCACTGATGAGAACAGCCATACAATGACTAATGGCACTATAGTTGACCAAAACTTGACTACACAGTGGCATAGATCCATTTTCTCATGTTGTGACAGTGCTTTTCGTTTTCCTGCATATATAAAGATATTTCACCATAAAACCAATGAAAACTTTGCGCTAATGACTTTAGGAGAAACCTGGACATCTGAACGTCTCAGGTAAGCGTCTCGTATTTATAGAATGTCATATTATATAAGTATGCAGCGAAATATAATATTCTATCCCTTCCACAAGGTGCAGCTCTTGAAGGTAGGTCCACTATGGTTTTAGGAGTGCGTCTATTGTACTGAACCATTACGTTTTCAACAAATAGGGACATTACAGTTCTGGCCTTCATCAATCTCCAAAGGCCGTAGACGGCGACGATCGCGGACTGTGACGCAATTCACACACAGAGGCCCAGCGAGCAATACGACCGATGTGTGCACAAAGCTGTACCCGGAAGGTACGCGACCTCCTCCGTTGCGTACGGGCGTACACGCGATACGGCACACACGCTCACTCTCTACCTGTCGCCTAATCTCCCCCAGGCGGTAACGCGCACACCTTGAGAACGTCTAGACCGCCGAGCGGTTTCATGATGATCATACGTGAACAGTACCTTCGAGATGGGAGCAACCAGCCGTTAACAGTGAATTAGGTTCGCGAAAATTTATCGGACTTGCCCAAGGCTACACAAACAAAAGCGGGAGATTGTGCTTCGATAACTTGGGATAGCTTGCGCTGAGGGTTACTACGTGAAACGAAACTTCATGGCACTGAAACGCCTGCTTCGTGCTATGAAACTTCAGCACTAAACACGGAGCAGGCGTCACTGGGAACACAGCCTTATTTCCATCGAATCACCGATGTTGCGCAGCAGACTCCCTACCTTGAAAGCTCATTACCATCAACAGCGCTACTTTCCTCTTACGCTGGAACCCAAGTCAGACCAAACAAGAACCAGCAAGATAGAGGAACCGCTGATTTCTTCCTGCATGCTTCGAATGGAATAGCAGCTCTAAGGTCACTCACAAGGAAGAGCTGTTCACGTGGCCGGCGGTCGGTACAGGCGGTCGACCTGCGGCGCTTGTTTCCCAAGGCTTCGCCGGGGCCGTCATTTCTGCAGGCGACAAGCTCCGAATGAGGTCGCGCCCGAGCCTCGCAGAGAGCCGCGTGAAGCTCTACAATGTGCCGAACAGAATGACCACGAGCGGCCCGCAAGTTCTTGACGACACAGCAAACCACACACGTTGCAGTCCGCACGACTTCTAACTCTTTAACTATCACGTCGACATAGCCAGATTATCTTTTCCGCGTTTCATTCACGCCTGCCATCTTGTTTACAACTAGTGACAAACAGTCACGCCGCAGCGCAGTAGTGTTAGTAGTGTCGCGTATGAATAAATATAAATTAACAAAAAGTAGCAAACTATATTTTGAAAATTTCATAATTCAAAAATTGTTGTAAAATATTTTAAACTCAAATATAAGATAGCAGGTGTTGATTGGGAGCCAAAATTGAGCCCAATTGAGCCACATGCACCGGTTTGACACTTTGTGAAAAAGCCAATTGAATCCAATCCTCACCAGCGTGATAGCCGCATACATGGCGGCGTGCGGGATTATTTGGTTTCGCTTACTTGTTGTGGGACGTCGATGCCTGCATCACATCCCGCCTTCGTTGCCGGCAAAACGCCTACTGAACTCGGTGACAATCAGTGGTTTGCAGCGGTGCTTCGAGCATGAAGCGCGCTTGACCAGTCGTCGCTTGAGAATCGCACCGCTGTGCACTCGAGCGTTGACGCAGAAGGCGAGTCACGATTTGTGTTCACTGCTGAACTTCGACAGTGATTCTGAGTACTTGGCATGGCGGCACGATCACAAGGATCTTCTCCTCGGTGTGTCGGACGACCGGCTGGCCAGTGCGTGCCGCTGGCTGCTCGACAAGAACGTAGAGCTCAGGGCGCTCAGGTGGTACCCCGCCATCCTGAAGGTCTCCGTCGTCACCTTGCAACGTCGCATGGCCGTTGTTCAAAAAGAGGTAAAATTATTATTATTAGTCACGCGAGAAGCTCCTCGTCAGAACGCAGTGAAGGGCAAGCTGTTTTGCCTGCCATTGACGAGTTGTGCTCGTGTGGCTATTTTTACCACCAACCATACCAGCTCCCAACAATGCCAACGTTATTACTGTAAATTAGAATATTTCATTATCCCGAAGCGTTTCGATGTTTAAAATGTGTAATGACGATGCTGTTTTTTTATATTTGGCGTAATTCAGTATAATTCGTGCGTTATAGTTTTTTTTTTTGAGTATCTTGTTGCTAATTGTGTTATGTTGTAACCCACGTCCCCCTCCTCCTGCAAAATGCCTTATGGCGATGTAGGTGAAGTGTAAGTTAATAAAAACGTGTTATAAAGGAAGACAGCAATGCTATTGCCACGATGATAAGTGATTTTAATGGAGAAACAGGAAGATGTGCAGTATTCGAATTGAATATAACTTTTGTATGTGTGTGTGTTTATTCTCTCTTCCTGTTGGCGCAGGAAAAAAGCGCCGAGTTGAGCTCTGAAGCTGTGCTGACGCTGCTGTCCTGTCCAGAATCTCTTCTTTCGACTGTCTCGGACAACGGGGGAGTGTGCCCCACCTTGAAGGCACGAGTGAACCTGCTGCGCCAAGAACTGGGCCTGTCCAAGCGTGAAAGCTTGGCAATGATAAGCCGGGTGCCGTGCTTGCTGAGCCATGAGCTTGAGCTTGCCCAGCGCAAGCTGGCCATTCTCAAGCAGAGTGGCATTCCCAAAGAAGCTTTGCTCAAGGTAGTATAAAATTCGGTTGTAGCAGCTTGCTCTAGCATTAAGTTTTTAGAGTGCGGCTCTTAGGTGCCTATTGTTGCTTTCAGTGGCGTTGCCTTTGTAGGCTGGCATCAGTGTAACGGACAGAGCGGACAAAGACTCAAGGGAGCGAACGCGGAGTCTATCGATATCGTGAGCTACTGGCCTCTAACCTAAATTTCTTCCTTCGTCACTAGCTCTGGCCTCTCAATTGGAACTCACTTGCATGCAGGGCTGGCACATGCACTGTGGCTGCCTTTGCTTGCCGTAACTGGGCTGTCAGCATTTCGCTTGGTTTGCGACGCCTACAGTGCACAGAGTGGTGTGCAGTGCACTTGAGCCCTGGCAGTTGCTGTGGCAAATATGTGATGAATGTTAGACTGCAACTGCGGATAGCTAGAGCTTCAAACAAAACTAGTGTGGCCCCGACATGAAGCTGCACTCAGACTTCGCATTAGGCAGTATCCTACTCGTTGGTGAATTTTTTGCTCTCCCTTTCTTTCTTGAACATGACATTACGGGCATCCTTCCTGGTAGTGGTCACCATAGATCGGTAAACTCATGCATACGTTGAATCACTCAGACAATTTTGATGAGATCAAGAAAGAGTGAACCCAGCTGAGCAGTTGAATACAAGTGACCCCAAGTGGCTAAAATTTCAGCAAGTATTGTCGATTTTTTAAAACACACATTTTTACTCTGCCTGGCATCTGCTCCCGCTGCTTTAGAAAGCAACAGTATTTCCTCATCAAGAAAGGATCATCATGAGCCTGCACCAATGAGCACGCACTCTGTACTGACGTTGTAAGCTGAATGGCTGGCAATTGTTATTTTCATATTTATTGTTAGTTGCCATTGCCCGTTACACAATGTTTTCTTTCCCGCTTTTTGCATAACAGCTTTTGTATATTCTTCAACTTTGCACCATTCGCTGATTGCTAGTTTGTAAGTTGTCAGATCATGGTGACCAATCGATACAGTTTCTCTTCCATTACATTTCGTGTATCAGAATTCCTCAGCAACAGTTCCTATATCTGAGGCTCCCTTGATATTGGCAATGGTGTATTTTGTCGTGTGGGTGTGATTTTCTAGAGCCGAGTAGTGAAAGGAGTAAATATTGAGTTATTTGCTGGGCGAAATTATACCCAGCCTACACAACAGTAAAAGCATGAGCAAGGAACACTCACAGTACAATCACAGCAGAGAAAACAGTTATAAAAAATGTGATTGTAGATTTTTTTGTCTATGAATGATCAAACATTTGAGCATCAATGCTGATACTCATGTTACATCCAGAAAAAAAAAAAAAAAACTCAACTGCTCAAGTCATATGGGGAGTATCACCAGAGCTCTCCAAACAATCATGGAGTTCCCCATACATTCCAGTGTGGCTTCCAACAAACAGTAGCACTTGTTTAGCCAGTGATTCACGGTGAAAATAAAACAACTGCTCATAACAATACACAATGAGCATTTTGTAGGCATGTGTGAGTACTAAGTTTTAGGTTCGAAGTCAATAGTGATTCGGTCAAATGATTCTGAATTGAATTTGAATGGTATAGTATGTTACGTATTACTAGGCTTGTGTGAATTGTTAATTTCAAGTTCAAAGCGAATTTGAAGTGAACAGTGATTTGACTGAATGATTTTGAATCAAATCCAAATAGTATATATCACATATTACAAAGAAAAATGGGCATATTTGTCATGGCCCGAACAATCTCCATTATATTTTTTTATTGGATTAAGGCTTCTGCAGATATTATTCTTTATGATTCATAGGAAGTGGAAGCAGCTTTGAATACTAGCAAGTTTGTATTTTGACAGAATGCTAGTGAAAGCTTGCAAAATATGTTAAGTTTTAAAATTTACGATATTCGTAGCATATAAGCCGATATCACATTATTAATGACGATGAAAAGTAGGTGCGTTCATGGTGCAGCACCTATTTTGTGCAGTGAAAACATCTTTACAGGTGAGTTGACTGCGGCTTAATTTGAATATTTCAAAATTTTCCATAATTGTGAATTCGAATACCCAAGTATTTGTTCCAAGTCTTCGACTATTTGCACAAGATGCAGGGAAAAATGAGTGAATTTGTCGTCATTTAAGAAACCGGCACAATACATTATATATATATATAATGCTCACGGCAAGTTATTTTTTCACCCACCTTTCTTTCTTCTTATTTGTATTACATTGGTTCTAATAACTTTCCCTATACATTCCTTGTCAGTATTGTCTGTTAGATCTCATTAATATTGTGCCAAAACGTGGAAAAATGAGCCCTTAGGTATACACTATTTTTCTTTATATATATATGTGTGTGTATATATATATATATATATATATATATATATATATATATATATATATATATATATATATATATATATATATATATATATATAAGGGAAAGAAGTGTATACCTAAGGGCTCGTTTTTTCATGTTTTAACACAATATTAATGAGATCTAACAGACAGTAATACCAAGGAATGTACAGGGGAAGTTATTAGAACCAATGGAATGTAAATAAGAAGAAAGAAAAGTGGATGAAAAAATAACCAGCCGTGAGCAGGAATCGAACCTACAACCTTCGAATAACGCGTTCGATGCTCTATTATGAGCTGCCCGCTCATAATAAGTTCACGTGCTACGTGACGCCAAACATGCGCATAAAAGAGTGTTTTCACACTCGTCGCTTGGCTTATAGATGGCGCTGACTGTCACTCCTACTTCTAAATTCACATATAAACCCAGAAAAGTGGATGGAGGGAAGGCCGCTGTGGTAGCTCAGTGGTTAGAGCATCGAACGCGTTATTCGAAGGTCGTAGGTTCGATTCCTACTCACGGCTGGTTATTTTTTCATCCACTTTTCTTTCTTCTTATATTTACATTCCATTGGTTCTAATAACTTCCCCTGTACATTCCTTGGCATTACTGTCTGTTAGATCTCATATATATATATATGGAAGAGAAGAAACACAACTTAGCGGTTGTCTTAATTTTTTTAATTAAAGACAAAAAGGTTTAAAATTAAGACAACCGCTAAGTTGTGTTTCTTCTCTTCCCAAGTACGTTTGGCCCATTAGAAAAACTTCAGTATATATATATATATATATATATATATATATATATATATATATATATATATATATATTTCGATTCCTGCTCACGGCAGGTTATTTTTTCACCCACTTTTCCTTCTTCTTATTTACATTTCATTTGTTCTATTGATTGTTCTAACTTCCCCTATACATTCCTTGGCATTATTGTCTGTTAGATCTCATTAATATTGTGTCGAAACACCGAAAAACGAGCCCTTAGGTATATACTGCTTCTCTTTATATATATATATATATATATATATATATATATATATATATATATATATATATATATATATATATATATATATATATATATATATATATATATATATATATATATATATATATATATATTGAAACAAAACAGTAGCAGATGCCATTTTTTTTGTTTAAAAGGAATGTCTAAAATTTACTATACCATAGCATATCATCTGGAAACTGGTATAACTAGCTATTAAGCTTTAAAAATTATATTTAAGCTTGGTGTGGAGCTCCGCGAAAATACGAATTTTCTTTGGTTAGGTGTGTTCACCGTATTGCACTTCTTTACTGCAGTGAAACCGACTTCACAAGGGTTACATGCGGCTTATATATGACAATTTGTCCATTTCGAATAATTTGAATTCGTGTCCAGGCGAACTCAAATAGTGTAATACTCATTCTAACATTCTAATTGCTTAAATATTTATGCATGCCTAGCATTTTTGTAATACTTATATCGTTTACGGATGAAGGAGTCTCAACATTATCTGTGGCAGGACCCGTGGGTGTTCCGTTACAGCGAGGCGCTGATAGCCCAGCGCGTGGCGCTTTGTCAGAAGCAGGGCATTCCGATTCGCACGTGGCTACTGCGTTGCCCCGACAGCGTTCTTCAGCGTCACTTGCAGCTGTGCCGAGCGTCCAGGAGGGCGCTCGGCACGCACCCGGACACACCCGACTATCTCGCTGAGAGGCTGGACTGCACGAGCCTGGAAGAACTGGTGCGACGCCACCCACGTCTGCTCAGCATACGGCCTCCCAAGCTAAAAGAGGTACAGTTTAATGAATGGAGCAATCCATGTAGGCTGCTTTTCTCGGGACTGTTTAAAATTCTTTGAAGGCATTACTATAGCCAGGGGAGAGGGGTAGTGAATGGGGGCTAAGAGAGTTCGATGTCGCCTCCACCCCTCAAAAAAAGTTTTCAATTTTGAGTGTTCATATGTGCATGCACCAGAGTTGGCAGATACTACCTGCAAAACGAGCAAATAATCATCACAAATGAAGCTCCAAAGAAGTATAAATTGAATTAATCTTTTTATTCAAAGTATTTTTAATAACAAAACATGTCACTCAATTGCGAAGGGCAGTTGTACACCAAAAATATCCGCAATACGAATGAAAGTACATACTTAGTTTTTAACACTATCTCCACGGTAGTCTCTATTCAGTTGAATGCACATTTGTCAGTGTACAATTAAATTTGTTTAATCATACACTTGAAAATTTGTTTAATCATACAAATGAATAGTGACGGCACACTGACACGTGTGGTCTGTGTACCAAAACGACTTGTGCAGGTGCTGGATCTTCTGTTCCAGAGCGGTTACACCGCTGAGCAGGTGCGCCAGTATCCGCGCGTGCTGAGTGCTAGTGCGAGCAGGTTGCGCTTGCGCCTGCAGAGGATAGCAGCACGCGAGGCGCCACTGCCATCTCTCTATGCTCTCCTGCTGCCCGAAAAGGTTTTTGAGCGCTGCTGTGGAAGATTTTTCGACGGCTACCCTCGCAAGAGTGCCCAGTCACGACCACCTGAATGCCAAATGGAAGAATAAACATTGAAATTTCTCTTGAGTTTCTGTGATCTAAGTAAGGCAAAGACCTTTGTTGCCTTGTGAAACATCAAAATGGACCATCGTGATTTACACGAGTGATTTAAAAAAAAATCTCATCTTGTAATGGCGTCATCATATGATGTCATCACGACATAGCCGGATAGCTAGGTGGGCTAACTCTTTCGCGTTGATGGAACCAATGCAGGCCTTTCTGAAATGCTCAGGATCACTAAATTTTCATTTTGTTTGTTTTTCATCCATTCTGAAGCACGGGTTCTTTTGGACTCGACCTATGTGGACGAGGGAAGGGGGAAGCCGGAATAAAACTTTTGCTTTCCCCGCCATGGACGCCGGTAGCATTTTGCACGTTTTTGGTAGGAATAAACAGCATAGATAGGGGGCAAATATGGAGGCACGTACCGTATCTGCTGCGTTTATTCCTTCCTCCAAAAAAAAAAAAAAACGTTCCAACTATCCTGCCTTTCACCACTTGTCTTGGGTGTGCGCAAGTGCGTGTTGCATCGCAGCTGGGGGAGAAAAGGGGAAATAGCGGGCAAGTGCCCTTTTCCCCTCCCTCTTTACCCTCCCTAATAGGGAATCCTGCGTACGCCTACGGCTGTGCCAGCTCTCCTTTCCGACCACACTACCCCAAAGAATCGGGGAAACAAAAGCACGCTTTTTCACATTAACCATTTTAGTGCGGCGAAGCCAGCTTTCAGCACGTGGGACAAAGTGAAGCACGAGGGAATTTTCAGGACACCACAACTATGTTGTTGAAAATACAGGGAAGAAAGTTTTAAAATGAGAAGACAAATAAAGGAGACTGATAATTTAATGTAAATGATCGGCCGTTCAGCGCTGCTGTCAAGATTACGCGCATAGTCAAGTTTAATCGAGAGCTTACGCAAGCACGAGTGATAAGGCTCGAATGTTCCATGCCGCATTATAAATGCCGATACACCTTACCACCGCAGATCAGCCTTATCGACGCCCGATCGTTCTGTCGGCCGCTATCTGTGTATACAGTGGGTATTGTTGCAGTTTGACTTTTCGTTTCCCGGGAAGGGGTTCGCCCGAATAAAGAGCTTCGTCTTGAACACGCCGACTGCTGCTTTCGTCAACGTCCCAACACCATGACAATATAAATATATGAGAAAATCAGTCAGAGTTTCACGTCTAAATTTAGCGCCGAAATCTCTGCACGTGACGTCACAAATTTTAGTCTCTTTTTCGTATCTTTGGAGACATCAGCTCAATGACATTATCTGAAACTTGGTATACGATAAGTCCGTGGCTCCCTCGGATGACAGCGTACTTGATTTTCACTGAATAGGAATTGCCCAGGACTTAGTAAACGCCGTCAAAGTTAGTGACGTCACGGCGTTCATGCGGGAATTTCAATGTGGCGTCGCCACCCACATGTTCTTTTTGTGCGTTTTCTCGTTTACCGGGCATCTTTAAGCATTAAGAGTGGTGCGGTTTTCGGCATTGTGAAGTTGTAGTTTATTATTCCGAGGAAAATTGTTTTTTTTTTTATCTCTATTTAGTATCCTTTAATGTTGCGCGTCAGAATGGTAGACTGGTATGTGCGGCGTCGAAAACGAAATGTGAATTTCGCAACCAGTGGGCGCTGTAAAGCTGCCCAGCCATTACAAGGTGAGAATCTACGCATGTCCGCGTGGCAACTTACGGGCGCGCATCGAGTGTACTTTGTGAATTTCCAAGAGGTAGAAATACGGCGCAGTGGGTACGTCGCAACAGTTCCTGCAGCAGACATAGTTTGAAACGCCCACTGTTACGCACACAAGCATTGTTCTTCCCGCGGGGGCCGAATACGCTATCACGCTCTATCTCTTCTAGCCGAAGCTCATGAGTCCTCCAAATATTTTAGATGTATGCCAAATTTCGGCCGTTTGGCGCAATGTTGCAAGTGCGGTCACTCAAGATTATTATTATTATTATTATTATTATTATTATTATTATTATTATTATTATTATTATTATTATTATTATTATTATTATTATTATTATTATTATTATTATTATTATTATTATTATTATTATTATTATTATTATTATTATTATTTCATCCATTAACTGCGCATCGCATTTTGCTGTCTTCAGTATAAGAATTTTTCCCTCTCCGACTTGGTATGAATAGAACAAATATTTCGGTAATATTGTCCGAAAAGATACGTACTTTCTGCACATATAATAAGGTAACTATACTACACGATCGTATTTGGACGGCAGGCAGACCTATAGGTGGCCCACTGCGGTGGTGCATATATATCGGTTAAGGTGCTCGACTGCTGGCCCGAAGGACGCGGGTTCGATCCCGGCGGTCGCATTTCGGTGAAGGCGATAATGCTCGAGGACCGTGCGCTGTGCAACGTCAGCGCGCGTTCAAGAACGCGAGATGGTCCGAATTTCGGAAGCCCTCCACTACGACATCCCTCATTTACAGGGGCCCCCTAACGCTTGAAAACATCGGTGCTGACTGCATAACTCGTATAGCGGCGCCCGCCAGAACTATATTGCGAGCGGAAATGACAACGCAAGGCGCGGACCTGTGATTGGATAAATGTAACCTTAAATGTTATCGCGGCATTGCATCATATATGGATTACTATTCAATTTCTTTTTTCTTTAGCCTGATTTTTCCTTGAACGCTGAAGAGAATAAAGCTTCTCTACTTTTCCAGCTTGAAAACTGCAAAGCCGCGGTCAAAGAATGCGCCGAGCGCCCAGGCGCCGTTGTTTGAAAAACTAAAAGAAAAAAATGTAAGAGCATTGACATATGGACTCCATCACAAATCGAAAGATCAGTAAAGATACAAAACATTACGAACGCGTTCGTGAGCTGCCTCGTTTCGCAGGTGTCGTTCCCTCTTCAAGTTCCACATTGTTTCTATCGCGACGGCGTCCTCACGTTGGACATAACGAGCACTATGACGTGCAAGCTTCCTGTATACGGTAGGGTTTCCAGTTCATTTCATTGAGCAGCCTTCCGACGCCATGAGGCGAGGGAAACACGGTCAGGTGAGCTCACGAAAATCGAGTTGAAGGTGAGCATCCATTTCATTGTATTTTGATATATCTACGCAGAACAACTTTGCACTGCGTGCTTCTGTCACTGCTGTTCTGGCGGCACTTATCGCTCAAGCCTTCAGCGTACGCAACCAGCTGGAAAAACAAGTAAAACAATGAGGTTGTGAAAAGTGTTAGATGGCCCCTTTAAACCCCAACAATTATCATAATTATTGGCGGAAAAAATACATATTCAAGCTTGAAACAAACCGCTCTTGAACAAACCGGTGCGGGATGCGATCATTGTAGCTAAAGCGTGGGATGAAGACTCTCCTCGGCTTCAATGGGCTTTTCTCGAGTGACCGCTACCTTGTGTAACCAAGATAAAACCGCACGACGTCCGCAAAGGAAACCGCTCCAACGACGCCTTCTCCCAAGTTTGAGATCGTCCGCCCGGCTATCAGCGGACGCTGATTTTGAAACCGCTACGAGGAGAGCGCATCACAGACACCGCCGCTCAGTAGATATCAAGTCGTCTAGACCTCAACATCTCGTAAGTATAAGCCATCTCAGCGCGATTTCTCGCGAGAAAGTCATACCGTAGCGGACGTACCGACAGTCTTATAGAACTGTAATCACGCGGCGTTTTTTTTTTTTTTGTAATCTGAACCTATAGTTCTTTTTGTATTCGCTATTGATTTTATAACGTTCAACATGCTAAACGTTTTGCGATGGCTCAATCGTACATCATAATATCGGTTTATCACCTTCATGAAGCCTCCTTGTAGAAGTTACCAGAAAGAATCCATTTCGTGTAATACCACGTGAAGGTAGAGACCAACTAAGCAAGCTTTGAGAACGCGTTTTACTGCACAATCACTGGCCAAATAAAAAAAGAAGAGAAAATTTCGAATTTGTACCACACATTTTACTGGCGCATCAAGCTCTGAACTTCATAACTCTATTTGAGAAATGCATTTCCGGTTTTAATTTCGTCTTCTATCTATTGTAATTATCCGACTACCATATGTGCATTGAAAATGATGGTTTTCATTAGTACCTTCTAAGTCTAAACTGATTTCATGTCTTTCTTTATCGCGACTTACATCGCATCCATGGGCAGAGTGCCTCGGAAAGGGCGAAAAACGTTGTGGCAAAATCGATTAACCTCTTGTTCCTTCACTTACAGGAGACGATGTCCTTGCGCATAGCAGCGGTGCTTTTGCTTGCAGGTATGTTGGATGATCAGCTAGTGACGTAGGCAGGATGTTTTTATTTTCTTCTTAGGGACAACGTTCTATATACAGAAAAAAAAAAGAAAAGCATCCGAGGGGAAAGGGGGGGGGGGGGGCAAGCAAGCGGGTGCTGTCGAGCGCTGCTTCGCATGCTGTTAATTCGATTGGAGAGCAACATTGCGGGGGAAGCATTAGCCCGTGTGTTCCACGTACTCTCCTGGTTAATTGCCCCCAAGTTGGGGGAATAACCTAACCCAAGCCAAATTATTCGGGGAAAAAATGCATATATACACTGACGGCGACTTCAAGGCATTTCGATCAGTACTGAATGGCGTATGATAAGCACCGACCCACAGAGATATTTATAACTAAACGCTACATGTGTGCGTCGAGTGAATATTAAAATGCGAGGAGAAATTATCTGCTGTAATAGGGAAAACAGTACGTACCAAAATTAGCAGATTAATATTACTTCAAACACGACCGCGGGTCGATTTCATCTAGATTTCACTTGCCGAAATTTCTCGTTCCTTGTCCACACATTTTTTTCGACGGCCACTCAGGAAAACAAATCATGAGGGAAACGATAAATCAGTTTAGAATAATCATTTTCAACCGAAAAACCTGAAATTCGGCCATTATAGCTTTCATAATAAAGTAGAAAATCAATGTCCCTTTTTCAAAGCCCCGCCGCGGTTTATAGTGGCTAAGATACTGGGCTGCTGACCCGCAGGTCCCGGGATCGCATCCCGGCTGTGGCGGCTGAATTTTCTATGGAGGCGAGAATGATGTATGCCCATGTGTTCAGATATGGGTCCCCGTTAAAGAACCCCAGTGTCTCTCATATATGGTGGTTTTGGGACGTTAAACCCACTTAGAAGTGTGGCAGCTTGGGCTAGTTGGTATGACATGACGATAGTTATAGCGCGAGAACAAAACGACGACACAGAGACCCACACCACGTATCAATCCCATTCTCGAATTTTGCTCTGAATTATCCGAGAGATTGACGTCAGGGCGTGACGTTTGGCCTGACGAAACTTTCTGAGAATTTAAGAGCTAAGTATCTGACTGCCTCGGAAGAATATGTACTTCATATAAACCCTAGTGAACCGTCAAAAACAGTGACGTCGTATGAATTAGCGCGGGGAATTCAAGGTGGCGGCGCCTCCCGTACGTTCTTTCTATGCGTTTTCTCGCTTACCAATTAAGCGGCATCTACTGGCAAAAAGCGTGGTGATTTTGGCAAGAGTCATTTACTAATATGAGGAAAATTGTGTTTCTCTTTAGTGTCCCTTAAAAGAAAAATGTCAAACTCTGCGTTAGCTCGAGCGAACTTCAACGAATCCTGAGAAAGCTCGTGGCCGTGCCTTGCCGATAATGCTATCACGTTTCTTTAAATACACCACGCACGCAGCATAAGCTTTACAGCGGAAGGTCATGTATGACCTTATCCGGTGTAAACATCGGATATCACAAACCTAGACCTTCTTCAAGAGTTGCAATCTTCTAAAACACCGGAGCAAGTGCTTGACCATCGAAGACATTGACCTACGCTGTCACGTGTTGGGCTTGTGACTTAAAGGTCTCAGTAATCTTCGAAGGGCTTCTTTAAAAAGAATCAGCTCTCAAGGAATACTTATCGATTGTTTGTCTGGATCCCCTTCTGTTTCAGCCACGCTTCTTTTTTTCTTTTTATAGCTTGATAAGTTTCCAAACTGCGTAAACGCACTCGTATCCACGCTCAGGTAACCAAACAATGCACTGATATAATGTTGATAATGAGCTTCGTGCGTGCGTTCGCAGCAAGAAAGGCGACGCCACCACGTGAAGGGCCAGATTGATTGATTGATATGTGGGGTTTAACGTCCCAAAACCACCACATGATTACGAGAGACACCGTAGTGGAGGGCTCCGGGAATTTCGACCACCTGGGGTTCTTTAACGTGCACCCAAATCTGAGCACACGGGCCTACAACATTTCCGCCTCCATCGGAAATGCAGCCGCCGCAGCCGGGATACGAACCCGCGACCTGTGGGGTACGCAGATTATGTCCTAAAAAATCGAATATCTGCTTCACGTCGAGAGATACGGACTTGGACGAGCGGCCGCCCCAGTGATGTCGCGTACCATGCCAGAGATTGACTGCGTGATGTGTGTGCGTGCGCGTGGTGTTATGTGCTATCTTTCCCTCTTTCCTCTCCACCTTCCGGTCCCGTTCCCATGCGCAGAGTATCGAACCAGTCATGGTTAACATCCTTTCCTTTCTCTCTATGCTATTTCTTCTCTTCAATCACTGTGCTCATCTCCGTTTGGGCAATTTATCCCTTCCGCTGGTTCGTTCCTTTAGGGAAACTAAAATAAAAAGGAACGTTTGCGAACCCGTATGCGATTTCCTGCAGGAAACAAAATGAAAAGAATGTTAAGTTTAGGTGTAATTTCACTTTATTGCATTCTTACAAATTATATATCTAAATCCTTGTTTCTTTACTAATGCGTTATTCTTTAAATCATCCGTTTCTAAACATATTTTGCTTGTAAAACCATTTTATCTCAAAAATAAGGTACCACCCCTTCCATGGCCGATCCCACCCGGTGGGCTGCGCCAGGTCACTAAGGGACAATCAACCATCCGAAACTATCCAACGAATGAACGGTGGCTCATACTGATATGCGTATAAACGTTAGCGATATTAATTGTTGTACTACCGTATTTCAAAAGAAACATCGATGCATGAAGGCATGTGCCCTTCTTGCCTGTCGCACCTTAACTTCTTATCCTACTTTGACCACACGCAGTCTACACCTATGCGAGCCCCGGTCACATTGACTTCGTGCTGGACCAGTTGCTGTCCAGCGCCGGCGTGGACGTGCTTCCGCTTCCGGACATCTCGTTCGACGTTGACAACCAGCACAACTGGACATTCGCAGGCTACGTCGAATTCCACCTGCAGAACGGCACACTGATCAATCTGCGCAGAAGGGTGAGTGCGGACTTCAGCACGTATAGACAACCTTCATAGCCGGTGACACAGTTTCAAGTACGATACACCTTTAGTATACACCTGAAACCTCGGCGCACACCATGCACATTCCTGTCACGAAGGCTATATGTCAGGCTGATACCGCGCTCGCATTTCATGGCCTCAACCAAGAAAGCGGAGACAACGAAGACTCCCCAAATACGCCCTTTGATTTTTATTGGTAGGTATACGCGTCAGTATTTTTACGCCTTTTTATATACATAGCGTGGCTCATTGTTCCTTACCAGAAACTTCACAATATACAGTTCAAGTGAAGAATGTCGGTCTGCTGGGTGACAAGATTGTGCACCGGAGGGTGAAAACGGAAACGTTAGCTGCCTTTCTGGGGAGTTACTGCTCGTCCAAAGCCTACACCTGCGTCTTGGAGAGTTCTCACGCACGAAAGTGACCTTGAAGCTGCAAACTTATAGAAGAACATCCACAAGTATGTGATTAGTATGAAACACCCGCTGTGATAAGTACAGTTCTTTATGCCCTTTTTGGGAGTATCGCGTCTCCGAAGTATAACCGTCATCTCTGTTGCGTACATTTCCTTTACTAAGGTGAAAGTCTTATAAGCCTTGTGTGAGCGTGGCCTTAATTGATGAAGAAAAGTGATCAAGAAAAGATCAAGTGATGTTCAGGAAAGTTGAAGCCATACGAAATCGAGTGAATTCGCATGCCTGCGTATATATGATATCAAAGCAGATTTAGTGTGTATCAGCATAATTAGTGCAATCGATGTACTATAACAAATTATGTCATTAAGAAGCTAATTGAGGTAATATAAATAATTAAGTTTAATTAATAAACGTTGAACGTGTGTATAAAGTGCGTGGTAAAATAGTCACACTGATTGACGTCTACACGCGGGAGACCTAAGGTCCGGTCGGCGAAAGCTCTGCCGGACTTCCAATAAAGTTCTTACCAACCAACCAACCAATTGGTTTTCGAATGATGTGCCTTTAGAGGGCTAGGAATGTGTGTCTACAGTAATCATATCTGGACTGTTATGTCCCCAAACCATGATATGATTTGTATGGCTCCGTAAATTTTCACCATCCGGTGGTCTTTGACGTGCACTAGTTGACATCGCACAGTATTCACGCACGTCTAACGTTTCACCTCTATCGAAATGCGACCGCCGCGGACGGGATCGAACCCGTGACCTCCGGGTCAGCAGCCAAGTGGCAGGCAGAATCGGGTTGATCAGTCTGGAACCATGGTCTAGAATAACTTTAGAGGAGGATGGATGGATGTGGCTCTACCCTTTAGATCGGACGGCGGCTAACGCCGCCTAGCCGTAATAATTAGTTAACTAACCACTAGATTTATCTTTTTTCTTTAAATAGTGAAGTTGAGGACTGGTACTTTGAAGTGAAGGATTTAATTTTCGCTCGTGCATTGACTTTAGCCACCAATCAGATAACCTTCTTCTAGTTAATTCTACCCGCTTAAAGTCTATTTTGCCCTCCCTGTCCCTAAACCCCAGTGCTTTGCAAAACTCTGCGCCATCATCTTGAACTATAGGGTGAAGCCCTTTACAAAATATTATCAAGTGTTCGGCAGTTTCCTCCTCCTCTCCACACGCACTGCATACCGCGTCTACCCCTTCGTATTTGGCCCCATATGTCTTGGTTCGCAATACTCCCGTCCTGGCCTCGAAACAGTAGAGAACTACCCCGAGTATTATCATAGATTATTTCCTTGGCAATTCCCTGCTTAAAAGTTCGATAGATCTCTAGTGCGTACTTCTTAATCATGCCAACTCTCCACATGTCAGTCTCCGTTGGAGGAGTCGGGCTCCTCCAACGCCACCTAGAGTCTAGGTGGCGTTAGGCTCCTCCCGGCAGGGTGCTGGTGGTATGCGTATGTACTACATGAATACCTGTCTGCGGGCGCAGGTACGACGAGTAGGAGACTGCGGGCTGCGTGGAGACCAGGAAAATGGCGCCCCCTTCGTCGAGCTCTGGTGCAACTTGAACCTGCGCGGTGTCGTCGCGCATTACGACGTCCAGGTAATCGTCGACGACCGAACCAACATGGCGGTCGCTGAACTGCTCGTCGACACCGGCAACATCTACTTCAAGCTCGAGGCACGCCAGGAAAACTGCACGGAATGTACGCCACGCACTAATTTTCTTTGAACGTGTTATTACATATCCGAGTCTTGTTCGGCCTCAGAAAAATCGTCTTCGCGACGTATCAGTCGAGTGCTACTTTATGCATTGAGTGAGAGTGAGCCTCGTGATAGGTGGTCCCATGCATATGAACGCCTGATTTTTTGTTTCTAAATATACATGCACCTGTTCACTTGCCTTAAATGCGGTGGTTAGAAGTACAGGTGAACCTACAAAAAGAAATTAGATAGTTTAATCTGGAGCCGGTCTTAATCACGAGTATTCAAAAAGATCCGTCCCCGGTCGAAACGTCTAATAAAGGTATTTTGATATGCGAGGATTCACTATATATATATATATCGGTCAGAATATACCGTGCAAAACCAACGTGCGCCGTACTCTATTTTCCCTTATTCTACCGGGGTCAGCGTTACTTCCTTGCTGCAACTATATATATATATATATATATATATATATATATATATATATATATATATATATATATATATATATATATATATATCTGTGTGTGTGTGTGTACGTTTGCGGAAAATATTGGGCACCACGATATTTACTTCTTTTCACAGTGAAGTTAACGAGTACATTCGTAATGGCATTTTTTTCTCTCTTCATATGCTTGTGACGTGTGCCCAAATGTCGATCATAATCCCTGCGCATGTGCTCGCAGGTTCGCAAATTACGGATTTCCAGGTGACCGAAGTTGCAGCTAGGATGAAGCCTCTGGAACAGAACATGGACTACATCGCCGAAGTCGTGCAGAAATTCGAAAGCGAAGTGGTCTCTCGCGCGCCGAGGCACATATCCTACGCGTTCAGCACGGCGTACAAGCGGGCATTGGCTGACAAAATCACCCCGCTGAAAGCCACAGACTTCACTGATCTAGCCTAGGACAAGACAATTCATTCTTTGTATACATACGCACACCACATGACACGCAGCGAATAAACCAATAAATATTTTACCACCTTTGAATGTGCAATCCCTTGAACGTGCAATCGTGATGCCTGTGAGCACGACAACTGATAAACCGTTGTTAAAGTGAATTGGAATCATAGCATGCAAAAACCAAATACGTAGAAAATTACAGGGTTTTTGCGCTGGCGTCATTGAAATCGGAATGTTGGAGTACCACATGGTGGTACGCAAAATTTCTGAAATCACGTTAATGTTATCAATACGTTGTATGTAAGTTCTTTTGTTGTTCATGCTCAGTGACAAACGTTCCAGCGGCGTCATGTGATTATGTGCTGCTATGACGTCATCAAAGTCGCCATGATGGTGTACCAGTACATTGAGAAAATAGTAATAAGGGCTGCAGCGCGAGCACGAATGTGCTAGAAGAAACAAACAAAGTCGAGGTACGGAAGGCAAAAGAGGACAACACAGCGCTCGTGTTGTCCTCTTTTGCCTTCCGTACCTCGACTTTGTTTGTTTCTTCTAGCACATTCGTGCTCGCGCTGCAGCCCTTATTACTATGAATTCAAACCAACTAGCCCAAATCGCCATTCTTCTGCATTGAGAAAGCGTGTCTGTGACGTATGCATGGCTTAATGTTCCTGAGAATGCTTCTATAACTTAGTATGAATGTTGACCTTGCTTTGCGTCTCGATATAATGAGTGTTGCTTCCTTATTTTTATCAGCATGCTCTGGGTATTTATATTTTAATACTGCAACACGTGAAAGTACTTGTCACGTTGCTGCATAGTTATTGTATTGAGAGGTGGGACGTAGCTTTTATTCCACCTGTTTACGGCTGTTTACGGATGTTTTGTACCTATATATGTGGCAGCAAACTTCGACCTTCACGTGAAAGCTCGTGCATTTTTTCTTTAATGATTGATCAGAAGCAAATGCGAAAAGTGCTGCCAGAAAGGGGGAGAGAGTTAAAATTTGTCGCTAAATTTCAAGGTTAAAGGGGTCTTGCAACACAAATGCTGCCGATTGGCAGTCGAAGCTCCTCAGAACATGCGAGTCAAACGCTATAGCGAAACACATGGATTGAAATTTACAATTAATTCTAAAATTCAGCTATAAATCACTTGATCCCTCTGTCATACAACCAAATCACTACTCCATATACCGCCAAAGTCCACGGCCATTGGCTGATTTGAGCATCGTGAGCTATGTAGTTATTGTGTCCGCCACGGAATGTCGACACGTACACGCGCGCACACTCGCCCTACGTAAGCCGAGCGTTAGAAGTAAATAATAATAATAATAATAATAATAATATAATAATAATAATAATAATAATAATAATAATAATAATAATAATAATAATAATAATAATAATAATAATAATATAAGAAATATAATAATAATACCCAGCCACATCCACCAAATGTAAGAACACTGTTAGACGCCACGCCGGGGTGAGGCAACCGTTTAATGGGCCTAACAGCAGTGAGATAGTAACCAGCGGTTTCAGCTGCAGCAGTACGAGCATCCGCCACAACAACCGCCTTCTTCGTCGTTTCTAAAGCAGAGCCGTGTTTGTCACTACAAAGTATTTAACATCATTAAGCGTGCTGGTAAGGAGATCAAGAAAGCGCTTGAAGCGCACGTGCGACAAATGCCTGTAACTCAGCCCGTAGTTGAAAATTCCTAAAATTCTTGCGCCAGTTTGTTTGTGAGGCAATGGGCTTGATTACTTAATGAAGCCGCAGGTTATAAAATAATTTGGAAAAATGTCTCAGTCATGCTAGTAGTAACGCACGTAGAGAAGCAGTAAATTATGCCAGGTGATGCGAGGCCTTCGAGACCTGTTAATGTCTGCGCAGCTGGTAGTTTTCTTGTTGTTTTGTTTTTTCCTATACACCTTTTCACAGGAAGGAAAAAAACACTGCCATGATGGGCTGTGTGCGGGAGTACAAAGGCTAAGGGAGCAGCGTTGTCAGTACATTTTCGAGGGGACGCGCCAATTTGCACAGCCCAAGGAGGGCTATGGCGGCGCCCAGGGAGGCGTTTATGAAAAAGTGAATAGCATCCATCTCCATCGGCATCAGTGCGCGTGGCATTCAAATTACGCTTTACGTTAGTTCTAAGCTTTGTGAACGAAGCTGACTAAGTGTTGTCGTGAAAGCAGCGGGCTTTTGAGCAAATATATGCGCAAGATCTGCAAGAGAACCAATCGCGGCTAAAAAAGTGGATCCCTATCAAGGCTCAATTGCGATCGAAAGTACTTATCAGACGATGGTTTGAGCGAGATCGATAACGGTACCGCTTTCATGTAGCAATCGCGCATTTGCTTTGCTTTTGAAGCACGGATCGGTTTGGACTGAAGCTTGAAGCAGAAGCAATGAAAGAAACGAATTGCATAAACAAGCGTAAGAGGCAGCCCCTTGCCCTGCCTTTAGCCTTACACTTACATTAACCGCCGGCTCCTTGATCAATCCTCGATAGTGGGTGAGGGCCAGTGCGAGAGAACAACCAGCTAGCGGGCGGAAAACGTGCATGTGTAGTCGCATGCCGATGCATAAACAAGACCTGCACCGAGCCGTGGCGCGGTGTCATGGTCAGACATGGTGAACTATGTTTACAGCACTTCTTACTTTATTCGTTCCCGCGATCGCGCTGCCGCTTACTGTGGAGAGGACAGACAATGGAAGCATCGTCGTGTCCCATTCGGTAGTCGTGTCCAGAGGAAAGACAACTAACATCAGCAGCAGCATCGTTATACGCAACAAGAAAAAACCGGCCTCTTCACCGAGCACGAGAAACGAATCTGGCGTATCGACTCGTCGAAGAGGATGCACGGCCAGCGTCGTTCCTAGCGAAAATCACGGAGCTCGTCAAAAGGACACATGCAGGAGAAACTGTCGAAGTTGGCTCTCGGGTTGATTTTTTAACCAAAACCTCAGGAATGAAAGACAAGAATGGAAAGAAAAGCACCGCACCGTTTGATACAACCATAGAGAGCTTTCTCAATGCCTTCAAACAAAATACCTCCCTCCGAAATGGCGCGAGTAAGACTTCGCCGACTGCAGAGATGCGTAAAACAGGTCGCCCTGGTCTCGCAGCTGGAATTGTAAGACTCTTGTGGAAAAGAACTACTACAACCAAAGCATCAAAGCGCCCCGTCACACAGCCCATTCTGGCTTCCGAAATGCTCCGGGATAGCTTTCAGATCGACTACGGTTGGGTCCACCAAAAGCGCGCCCGAAGACAGGCTTTGGACTACAACGCGTCGGATGTCAACAACACAGCAGTCAAGCTCAAGACTGAGCATCTGGATAAAGACTCAAAGTTGGTTCTACTATTGCTCATTGCTCTCCTTCTCTTGGCCCTCTCCTCGATTATGTCCTACCGACCCTCCCCAGAACACCCATACTGCATCAGGTTGCGCCCAGGTGCACCACCATTCTACCAGCCTGTCCCTACGTCTGAATGCTTGGACACTGTGGAACGCAAATCCAACCTGGGACTTCGTGACATGCGCTTTGCGTCCTTAGCGCACACGAAAATTCTGGTCTCGCGAATGGTGCGTCGTTGGAGGGGCCGGTGCGAGCAACAAGCTTCGAGTTTATGAACTTAAGCTAAAGATATGTACTACTCCACTAAGCCATTCTAGTGCACTGCCTTAATGTGCAAAATCCAGTGTAGAATTTTACATGGCAAACATTGTTCAGAAAGATGTTCTACAAAAGGTGCACAAGCCATCAGTTCAGTTGCACCATAAATCAGACCTTGGCAACCTGCGATACAGGTTCGTGAGCAACACGTTAGTGAGAAGCTGTGCTTGTGAGTGACACTACGGTTACAATTTTCGCACATGCTAGCAGATCTAGTCCTCAACTATGTGTGACTCCTGAAATTTTTGCCAGAGCCTGAACATAAGGCTCAGGTGACAGAACATTAAAATTTTCACGTTTTTATGGCTTTAGCATCAGTCTTAAGTCAAGGTACTTTTGCTCGGGATGTCAGCTTGTATTCTGCACTCTGTACAATGATAACACTTTCTGTCATTATTCTAGTTTTACATCAAGTACCACAAAAGAGCGAGTGTTCATGTTTAGTGAGGTTACATCAACCATCTCATATGTTCAAGTACATACTGATGGGCACAAGTTCATTAAGCCACCAAACTAACGGCCAAAGATACATCATGAATTTTGGAGGCATTACTAACGAGAACAAACAGACAATATAATGCCAGGGAATGTACAGGGGATATTAGAAGTAATTGTAATGTAAATGTGAAGAAAGAAAAGTGGATGAAAAGATACCTTGTCACCGGCAGGATCCGAAGCTGTGACCTTCAAAGGTTGCAGGTTCGGATCCTGCCAGTGTAAAGTTATCTTTTCGTACACTTTTATTTCGTCACATCTACAATTACTTCTAAACCTTATACTTTCCCTGGCATTATATTGTCTGTTAGTTCTCATTAATATTCTATCTAACAAAGGAAACAAGCCCTTAAACCTACACTTTCCTTCATATCATAATTGTTGGAATTTCAAGTCCAGAAACCAAGATAAGCTTATTAGGGACGCCGTAGTGGAGGGTTCTGAAAGTTTTGACTACTGTATCTGGCGTTTTATACGTGCATATAAATCTAATAACACCGGCCTCCAGCATTTCACCGTCCACCAAATGTAGCTGGCACAGTCTGGATTCATTGCGCGACCTTCAGGTCAGTAGTCCATAACCAATAGACCACCATAGCATGCAGCATTGCAAGATGTAGTCGACTACAGGAACTTCATGCTGCTGCTTGCCAGGTAAGCACCAAGAGACCAAGAAAACAGACTCTTTTTATTGCACCGTACGCGGGAGAATACCCCCATCCATTGTGAGAACTAGAAGACAAAAAGCTCGGGGAAGTTGATCTCGTATACCGGGGCTGCGTGAGACTCCTGAGCCAGATTCAGCGAATGCTGGCCAGTTGCCATAGTGGCATGCCTGCCTGCAGAACTGGGGCCAGCATTGGAACCTGGCAGCTTGCCCAAAATTTCCTTCAGCTTGCCTTGGA